ATCCACCATCCCTCCTGCTACTCAATGTGATCGACAGCCTATCGGCGCTTTCTGTCACCACACCTAGCAGATTATGGACGCAATTTAAGCACACAACCTGCTTGCACTGCTTGCTCCTCGGAACTCTAGCACTGATCAGGTAGCCCATCAGCACGCCGCGGTCGCTCTTGCGCCATGCAAGCGTCATGAGGCCAGCAGGCTCTTTGATCTTGACCCAGATGCGGTGAGCGCAAGTGAGACAATTGACAGCAACCCGCTCCTGGCAGCTCACAAAGTCAACCCTGATTTCACCTGAGGTGATCCCCCTCACGCTACCTTGCTCCATGTGACCAAGCCCACTGCTGAAATGCTGAAGACTAGCTTGAGACTCCATGGTTACCACCCCTTCCTTGGCCTACTCTGAGGGGGCCGGATCTTCCTAAGCCCCGTGCGCCTCCATCCTGCCTCCTGCTACCCGGTCCGGGAATACCGGGCCCTCGAACTTGCCTATTTGGCCTGACGCCCTCTCCCTAAGTACCTAAAGCCCGACCTCGGCCGGTGGTCCCGGTCGCTTAGCCCTAAGTTCCGATGGTTCGACGCCCGAGGTTTCGAAAGGTCTCGAGAACCTTCGCAGGGGTGGTGACGTGGCAGTCCTCTCCGGTACATGCAATACAATTTAGCGTCACTGCCAAATCCGGCACGACCATTGTTGAACGTACGCCGTCCGATCTGTCCGGGCGGATCCTGGCCGTTTATTTAACTCCGAACTTCATTTGGTAGGCCCGTCTGCTCAATTGACCGGCGGACAGCGAGGGTGAGACATGCCGGTTTTCATGTCTAAATCGCACCAAATGAAACAGTACGTGCTGTTACGTTCCAAGGGCACCATGCAGTCTTCCTTGAAGTTCCTTCCCTTTGTCTGCCTGCATCATGCATGTTCACTTGAGTTTTTTTCGAGCTCAGAAGTTTTTAAATATTCTGGGATAGAGTCCTCCAGGTTCTTGCCTTAGGCGCTGGCAATTGGAGGCCAATAAGAATGGCTGCCCCTTTGTTTGACCAGCTCCCTTCCGCTATCATCATGGACATTGTTGAACGGGTCCGCCAGTCCTGCCCCACATCCTTCAGGGCGTTGGAGCGAACCAGTGCGTCGTTTCAGAGCACAACCAGGAGCCTCAGCCGTTGCCTGCGTCTGCGAAGTTGGACAGTGGACGCCAGGATGAGCCCCGAGCTTGCGGCTCATGTAACAAAGAAAGAATTGCAGCTACGGCCGCTGGTTAAGCACTTGAAGATTGTGGTTGACTTTGGAGGCCACAATATACAATACATGAAGGCAATGGGTTATCCTCCCTATGTCGAGACGCAGGAGGATGGTTGGACAACTACAAGTATAGTGTAAGAGCGAGGCTTCTCTGATTCCGTGGATGGTCATTACCCTGTAGCATTCATCGGGGCAGCCTCTAGTACGAGTCTAAGGTCCCTTGAGCTGGTCAACTGGCCATGCCTCAACAAGGTGATACTGGGTATGCTGGGCAGCTTTGAAAGACTGGAAACGTTGGTGGTATCAGGGTATTGTAACCTGCGACACCAAGGGCCTAACATCTTCTGCCGGAGTCTGAACATGCTAAAAGACAACATTGAGCTCCCTTCTCTTACCCACCTAGATATAATCAATCTGAACCACGGGTGTCGAGCAGCTGTCACAAGCGTGCCTTCTCAACAGATGCTTCCGCGTGCTCGCTCTCTAGCCTTCTCTTCCGATTTCGAATGGATCAACGACAAGCAAGGGTTTTCAAAGGGCCCAGAACAGTTGGAGATTCTTCACCTGCAGACCAACTTTTTGAATGACGACTTGTTGGGTAAAGTTGCTGCACGATTCAAGTTGCTGCAAGAATTGCGAGTACGACATGACTGTTACCCCTTGCCATATGAGGAACGCAAGTCACCTAAGGTTACTCTAGCTGGGCTGCAAGATCTTATGTCAGGCTGCCCGCACCTCAAAGTCTTGCATATTTCTGAAATGTTTGTGGAAGCCATCTCGTCGGCAGAGTGGTGCAGTCTTCTACAAACGGCGAACCAACTCAGAGAGATACATCTTCCTATGATATCGGAGGAGATTGCTGAGATAGTAAAGACACTAGGTAGCTTGGAGGTTCTCAGTTCTGAATACCCTAAGCACTTGTTGAGCTTCAAAGAGCTTTGTCAATCTTCCCATGAAGGCGCACATTTGGAAGTACGCCAGAACACTTGTGCTTGTGTCAGCCGGAAGTCGGTGGCAGGTCGGTCGGGAGCAGGATGACCGGTCTAAAACGTTGGGCCCAGAATATAACCGTACGAATATGAACTAGATTCAAAGCACTGTGGAGAGGTGTGATTCCGAGTTTTAGAAGCTCAAGGCTCATTAGCGGACGAAGACTCTATACTTAGTGTTATCAACATATTAGAAAGACAAATTGTCTACTCATGACAAGCCTTTGACACCTAATTCTCGAGCTATCGGAGATAGTTGAGCTCTATTCCAAACGTCGCTAAAAATCCTCCACAAAACTGTATCTTCCCATGCATGGCATGAGATGATCGATCTGCCCATGTTTCAAATGCTGCGTGGCTCGAGTCACGTGCTCGAGTCATGTATGTTGTCCCCATGGAATAATGAGCTTGCAGTTTGGCACGTACACACTTCATGGCACCCTTTGTGTCGGATACTGGAGGTACATGCTAGGGCCATGAGGGGGCCATGTCGCAAATTGCATGTCTGCAATACTCGCACAATGAATCCGAGACTGAATGGACTATGTAGTGTACGTAACTTATTGCACGTGGGCCCGGCCTTCAACCATGAAAGCCGAGCGGCTTAATGACTGGCATGAGCTATGTATGCCTGCGTCCTTAAGTCGAGCCCATGCTGCAAGGCCCTGTTCGCACTCTGCCGCATAGGCATCTCACAAAATTGTTGACGGTTCATTTGTTGAACCGCCAATGAAAGGACGCAGCCTTTGCAAGCGCCGGTCGATCCTGATTGCATGCATGGTCACGGAAACATGCTGCCATATGCATATTTTGGAACCGTCAAATTTTCATATGCAATTTCAGTGCCGTTCCGCAATTCAGAAGCAAACTCATTGCCGGTTCTTCGGAGACTAGCTTTCACACATGCCTTCCATGATTGATACGACAGGTCTTCGAAAAGATAGAGTTGTCGACAGGATGCACAGTTCTTGAAATACATGTTCAGCCAGGGGAACAATCCCTGGCTGCTGACGGTGTGACTGCTGTCGACCTAGAAGGTTAAATGTGTGATCTAGGGTGTAGAGCGTGAATATACCATGGGCCATCACTCCATGCATTTTGCTAGTGTACAGCTTACGACTCGGAGCATCTAATCGTACGGGTTCCTAAACTTGTGAAGCAGGTCCGGAATGTCAATTCCGAGGACATCATCGACGTTTTTGAGCAGTTTTGGATTGAGTTTGTTGAAATTGGATATCTGATAGCCTTGCAACACTTCCCGGAAGTAGTCGACGTTGGGGAAGTCCCCTCGAGGCAGATGGTGTTCCCGTTGAATCTGTAATATTGGGAAGAACAGAACGTTTGCAATGCTCTGGCAGTGATCGGCTCCATAGAAAACACCTTCTCTTCACCTTCTGAAGGGTGCTGAATGAGACTCAAAAGCAGGCCACCCGCTCAGCAACGAATGGTCAAGCCAAACTCAGAACGAGGCAGTGAGTTTGATTGCTCAGAGGCAGGCGCTGCCACATCTGTCTTTGTGCATTTGAGTGGAGCACAAAACGCGCAATTCGAGAATCTGAGCCCTCATCCTCGACCAGAGCCGCGCCATGCACCTCACCTTGTCAAACTCCTCCTCGAGGTTGTCAATGATTTGCTGCTGCACCTTGGCCTTGCCCATGAACGGCATCCGCGCCCGCAGGCTGGATACGATGTACGCGTGGATCTTGGCGGCCCGGGCCCGCTTCACGAACTCGTTCACCTGCGCACCCGTCAGGCAATCAGAAGGCAACACATCCCGACCTTCGCTTGAGTGCTCCCGTTGAAGGTAGCCAGCTCGTATCCAGACGGAAGAAAGGACTCCAAGCAAAACCCCCGTACAGTAGATTTCCTTGCAGAGGTCGCATTGAGGAGCCGAAGGGAGGGCGAACAAAACAGCCGGATAAGGTCCGCCAGCATATTCGACCCGCAAAGTTCAATCCTTTTTGCCAAATCTCGAAGGGAACGTCCACCCACCTTTCTGTCGACACTTTTCCGAGGGATGTCATTTAGATCGGCCATCAGATCATTCTGCTCCGCTTCAAACAGCTGCGCCCCCAGCGGCGTGTTCTCAGCTCGCATGGGCCGATCGTTGAAGGATCTGTCACACAGAGATGCAGGGGTTGAGACAAGAAGAAATACTTGCAGACCAATGCTGCTGCTGTAGAAGGACAACAATAAACCCGACTTTGACGTACCGGTACCAGCAAAGCCGGATCGATCGAATTCTCTGAAACCGGAAGACCGGAGCAAGATTACTGAGAGCAACAATGTGCTCGATACTGCGGACGGAGATATTCAAACAACTTAGGCCCGAGACCGCTTACCCTATGTACACTCGCGAGACCTCTGGTGTGTTGAGAACCTTCCCCAGGGACCACATAAGTGCTCCATACACGCGCATGAGCTGCAGGAGTTCGACTCGCGTCAGACGACCCGCTAATCCTATCGAGATAAGACAAGATCAGACGTCTCCCTGCGAGATCCATATCGATACAATTTTGCAGCGAACGACTCGTGTCCTTTTGCTTGAGGTCTATGTTGGCAAGCATTGACAGGACGTGCCACCTCAAGTGGATGCATGCTGACCCGAAACATAAGGGCCCGAATGGACAGACTGGCAACGATGCGAACAAGCGCGATATATAGTAAAAGAAGCATTTCTCCAGAAAGCGAGAAAGCGCCCCAGCCTCGAGCGCGCCCACCTGCTGCGTCTCGACCTGGTCGGCCTTGTTGAGGACGACGCGGATCTTGTCGTCCTGCCCGCGCAGCGCCCCGATGACGCGCTTGAACTCGTCGGAGATGTCCAGCTTGTGCGGGTCGAAGAGCAGCAGGATGAGGTCGCTCCGCTGCGCGAACCACTGGACCACGCCCGTGAAGTCGTACGACCGCATCGTGCGCTGCTTCTCGCCCGACAGCACGCCCGGCGTGTCGATGAACGTCACGTGGTCCAGCAACTGCGGACGGGGCGGAACGAGGACAGTAAGAGCTGGGCTTGCTCTGCAGATGGGCCAGCCGCGTCTCAAGTAAAGAAACGCCGCTTTGGGGATTCACACGGGTCAACAGCAATGAAGTGAACGAAGGCCTACACATACTTCAATTTTTGCATCTCACCTTTGACAGATCACTCATCTTTAACGGCACGATAGGACCGTACACGACTCTTTCGCTTTGAGGATCACAATATGGTCATCCAATTGACGTCTTCTGAGGACTTCAACAGTGAAATCAGGCTGATACCACTTTCGGACAGAAGATTGTGTGTCGATGTTGCCATTTCTCGGGGCTCACCTGGTGGGGCAGTTGCGAGCACTCGAACTTGGACAAGAAGGCCGTCCCGAACTTGGTGAGGCCGTTGAACGGCATGTCCGCTTGCACGGCCACCGTGTTGCCAGGCACGCTCCGCTCGTCCTGCCCTTGCTGAACAAACAGCACCCACACACGCAGAGTCACCACATGCCCAAATTGCTGCCGAGGACCCGACTGCGAGAAGAAACTCAGAAAACTTCCTGCCCAGTCTCAGAAGCTGAAACTGACGGCCAATCGATTAATAAGGCGGCAAGGCGAACCGTCAAACTTTTGTCCGCGTATGAGGATGCTGGCGGTTTTGCCTCACCATGATTGCTACGAAGCGGTCCGTTGTTGGCTCCGGGCCGATGTGAGCACCTGCAGGAGTTCGTAAGGACACATCAGAATCTTTTATAATCCAGAAAGAGACCAAGACGTCGAGGAGCAATGCTCCAAGCGAGCTAAAGATCCAGGACCATGACAGAGAAGCTTTCAACGGTACGGTGAAAATTTCAAGCAGCAGGTTGAACCATGAATCAGGCTGCTATTCTCGCTGAACAAGGAGGTCATTGTTAGCTCTCTTACCAGGATACTCCCGTTTCAAGAGATGCTTGATGAAGGTAGTCTTCCCGGTGCTGTACTGACCCAAGAGCATCACCATTGGCTTCGAGTCGAAGTCGCTGGGTGTCTGGCGAAACACAATAAGAAGGGTCGTATCATTATTGCAGGTCCCGGCTTACAACATACTCCAGTTGCCTGTGCACCACTGGAAGCGAAACCAAGCAAATGACTGCGAAATACTTGGAATGCTTCTTTGCGTCGAAATCAATCTTAAACTGCCTTCGAATGCAAATGGAGTGGATCAAAGGAACTTGGCGGCCTCGCTTGCTCACGAGAGGCGGCGAGTGGAAGGGCCCAAACAGGTACGTCTCCTCCAGCGGCTTGATCTTCTCCACGTACAGCCGCTTGAGCCCGTCGATCACCGAGTTCACTGCTTGCGGGGGTAGGGGCTTCCGTTTCCGAGGCTTGACAGACGAGGGAGGGGTCCAGGATGCGTCGCTCGACTCCCTCGCTGAACCAGGCGGACCAGCTGAACCAGCTGGACACGGAAGGAGACATAGAAACACTCAGTGCCAACAGAATTTGGCGTCATGGCACACAGATCCCTAACACCAGAAAGCCAGTCCCACGAGTGACTTGAAGGTACGAGGTGAACGAACAAGGCGTAGCATCAGATATGCTTGGAAATGCGAACATGTCACGGCAGCCCAAAATACGGCTTCTTTAGCCCAGCTTTTCGGCTTCCGCGCCACAAACCAAGTCGTAAATCGCATTAAAAGTGACGAACCGAAAGACAAAGCCAATCCAGCTTCTTTGTGGGTTTGCAATCTTCAAAAGCTCACAGAGCCTTGACGGCCGAAGCGGCAGAATATTGGAGCGATCGTCCCAGAGAGGCGACGCAGGCGCCGAGCGGTAAGTCGAGCTAAGGCTCGGCTCACTGCTAGTCTTGCTGCGGAAAGGCTTCATAAGGGCCTTCCCGAGCTTCTTGTGTGGCACGGAGGACAGCTCGTGCATCAGCACCCAAGGGACATCTCTGAGTGTCATGCCTCAAGCAGTCTGCTTCGTCTACGAATGGACGGCATCTTTGCAAGGTAGCAAGACTGTTGTTGTTGGGTCAAAGAAACAACATTTGCCAGGACGGAATGGAGAAGGGAGGGGAATAGTCGCATGCTTACGTGAGCTGCTGCTGCCAGGGACCTCAGCAGCGTTTGAAAACGACAGGTTCCGCTGTATGACAAAAGACTCCGCTCAGGACCGTATCCAAAGAGGGCCGAAAAGTCATCTGAAAACTCCAATGAAGGCAGTAGAAGCAGCTGAGGATAAGCAGAGTGAGCAGACCTCGTTTTGGGGAAGGTCGTTAGGGGCAGCTTCTTGGCCTGAACAGACGGACGCATCATGTGGTGGCATGGCAGGCAGCGCCAACTAACCTGGAACAGGGTTTCTATGCCAGTCAATACTGGCGGGCTGATGTCCTCCGGATCTGAGGAACAGGAAAGAAGCGAGTTCAAAGTCCTACAACGGTGATCACAGGAAGTTGCCCATTTGCTCAAGAACCTTTCTTACGAAGCTCCGGCATGAGGAGGTAAAAGCAGGATAGCAGCGCCGCATGCTTGTATAGAAAACGAACAAGGGAGTGACTCTTTTCTTCTCGAATAAAATCTTCACCTTTGTGTTTGAGAATGTCTGGAGTAACCTCATATCCAGCTTGGGCCAATCCAATGACCTGCCAATGCAACAGAAGATATCCATTGGATATGAAGAAGAGTCAGCACGGAACATTGAGATATGTAGAACAGATAGGAGAGCAGATATGCCAGCGAGAAAGAGACAGCGCTCACAGACAGTCAGCCACAACTGTTCCAAGACACTTGATGTGCCCAAAAACCGCTTTCTCACCTGCATGGCAGTCACGAACTCACGGAAACCCAGGTACCCAGCGCGAGAAACATCTGCTATGCCCCAGACCTGAAGAGGTGTATAGGGCATGCATGAGACAACAAAAAGAGTCTTTTGGCGAGTCGCAGGAGATGACCAGGTTGTGTCTGGCCCAAAAGCCTATTTGGGAAGAGCGGATGCTCCATTGTGGTAAAGAGCTTGATTTCTGCTGTTACAGTGCACAAAGGATCTATAATGCAAACCTTTAGTCATGATAAGCACGATGAGCTCCCTTTGAAGTTTCACCCGTCTCTCTGCCCGTTTGAAGGCCTTGTTCACTACACAGAAGGGGAGGCCAAGACATGCAAGAACTTTGATTTCGAACTGTCACATCGGACAAGGCGAAAAAGTGGATTCATGAATGTCAAGACCAGCAATGCCATCGATGGAAGACATCAAGGACCCCACCTTCTTCAACACCTCCCTTGGAAGCTGGGACATTGAGAAGAAGCTGACGGCCTCCGAGCCTGTCAACCGCCCATCCCGGTCTGCCAGACAATAGCTCAGCGTGAGCAGAAAGGTCATAACAAGGAGGCCAGATAAATGCAGGATGCACAGCAGAAAACCCCATGTTAGAAGAGAATTGGGCCAAGAGATGCATTCGAATTCTGCCAGCTTCAGCAGCAGCGATTCTGGGGTGGGTGCTTGCAACCCCATGATCGCTGATTCATGTTACGGACTAAAGCCTGCTCCTGGCAGCTCAAGTGAGTCTCCAAAATTTTCCACACGTTGAGAAGCACGTTGCCCACCTGCATCAGCAGCATCGAACCACTGTCGATACAGCGCATCATCCCGCTTGGCTGATGATGGCGCAACAATCAGGTCCATGATGTTGCCCTTCAAGATTCTCCAGAATTTATGGATCCGTCTGCTGTCCCCAGCGCTTCAACAAGCTGCAACCAAGGAGACACTGAGCCCTAATAGTAACAGCAGTAGTGCAGAAGAAAAGGCTGCATGCGCCTATTACTAGGTTACTAGGTAGGCTATAGCCTTAGGCTATATAGGGAAATGGGGTGGCCTGGCCCCCCTGAGTTCGGATTTCGGAGTTAAGGTTTTGAGATTCTTGGAATGGGCCACGTTTCCTGCAGAGCAAGCAGAGAACCATAAGACTTACATACTTCTAGCACTGTAGCAGCAACATTGGCATTGGCATCAGGAGGCGTGAGAAGTTGGTGCTAGCCTTGTGGCACAACACTGGGGGGGTCCGCAGAAGCTCTGCAGACATTGATTGACTATGCAAGGGTTCTGAAGTCAACTGGCGCCTGGTCGGCGCCATGGTAGGCTGAGCACTTAGTGCAGTGGTGGTACTTGCTCCAGCGCGTCAAGAAAGTCAACCAGATTAGTGCTGTAGTGATACTGTGTCCTGCAGGGCGCTCTGGCGACCTGCTTTAGCAGCATTGTTAGTGTGCTGTTCAGAATCTGTCAGCATGTTCTGCGGCTGTGGGAAGCCATCACTCGTGGATAAAGTGCCGCTGTATGGAGTAAACCTTAGCCGAAGGACAGAAGCAGGGAAAGTGAGACCACTGGAACAAGGTGCGGAAGTCTTGGATTTGAAGCTACGTCATGTCAAAGCTTTTCAACCAATACAGGCTGGAGCATCACCAGCAGTTGCCCAAAGTGAAACTGCAGCAATAAACGCTGTCAGAATCAGGGGCGAGGAAGTGGCGGCGCTCGAGGAGTTTGTGAGAGAACGGCAGAATGGAGTTGACAGACTGCGAAGGCAGAGTGCAGGGTCGCTGGAGCCACATTTACATGAGCCACATGAGTCGTCCTCTTTTACACCAGCAAGTCAGCAGCAGTCAGTACAGCAAGCTGCGTTGTCATCGCAAAACCCCTATGAGCAACTTCTAGCTAGGGTTTCTTTGCTTGCATCGCTGCGACACCGGCAACTGCAGCTAGGAACGAAGTGGAGAGAACTCATTGAGGAGGCGAGTGCCTTTTCAGCCAGAGAAGATGGTGGTGGTGTGTTGGCGCTACAGATTCTACAGGCGATGAGCAGGACAAAAGGTCAGGGGAAAGTGCGGGCAAGCACGCACCACATTGTAGCTGCACTTCGGGTAAGTGGAAGTCTGGCATAGTGACTTGTCTAAGTGATTGCTTGGCCCTTGTGAAGCTTGAAGTACATCAGCATGTCATTTGTCAGAAATGGAAGATCACCATGATGCCACCATCCCATCACTTGGGGAAGTTGGACATGCTTTGCAGTATTGTGCAGGATCAAGAGGTTTAGCTGCCGAAAGAGCATTTTGTAAGACAGGCTTTCAAGCGTGCCTGCTTCCCCACTTTCTCCAGATTAAGCTCATACAAAGCTCCATAATTTGACTCAGCACAATGCATGGATGCCTGCAGACTTAGCATATCTAAAGACTGATATGCTCCTCATCACTCCTTTTGCCCTACCCAGACCTGTCAGTAACATGTTATGATTGCCGGCCATGTGAGCGAAACCTCTTAGTGGCCTTGCGTTTGCCCGCGAACGTGACTGGCAGATTCAATTGGTCATAAGTGGCAGGTGCAACAATTGGCGCTTGTTTGGCACAGGTGTGCCGCAACGTACCAGAAGGGGAATCCATCCTGGAGTGGGCTAGGCAGCAGGGCACCGGGATGGCAGCTCCACCCCTCAACGCCCACGTCTTTTCAGCCATGATCAAATTGTACCTGGTTCATAGGGCCTCCGACAAAGCACGGGCCCTGCACCAGGCAAGTCACGTTGGATGCAGCCAGCATCAGTTTCTTGTAGATCACGCTCTGTGATTGCTGTCTTGCCCAGTTTGGAACCACTTACGAAGTCGCATATTGAGTAGCGCACAAGAAATTCATTCAGGGTGTGAGAAAGGAAAATTTTCCAACATGAGAGCTGACGCCCCACACTGGGCTCCATTTGTGCAGGTCATCAAAGACGAAAGTATAGAAGTGGACGTAGTCCTCTATAATGCTCTCCTGGAGGTAAGAGCTTGGTTCTTCCCTGAAGCCAGCACAGATGTATAAATTGTTATCTTGATGCTTTTCTTTCTCAGCTTCTTGATTAAGAATACTTCCGTGTTCCGAGATTTATAAAGGCGCGCAGAGAGTCATGAACGCAAGATTGTGACATGTTCAAAGTTCAGATGGTGCTATCTGCAGGCGGAGAATGACGTGGACAATATGTGGCGGCTTCTAGCAGACATGGAGAAGTCGGGCATAAGGCCAAACGACAGAACATACGCGTGAGTGATCCATCGCCAGTTGTCCTTGCATCCATTTCCCCATGGCACTTCATCCCTCAAGCTTGTTTGCAAGAAGCGTAACTCAGTGCTCCGCTCGTGCTCATAGACGTTCTTTGTGCACATAATAGTGCGGGATTCTCTGATGTCTCTGCCTCCTGTTTTTTAGGGCGTGTTTGCGGTGCGCTGGAGCCGTGGCTGACACACAGGCGGTGGGCCGACTGGAGGACCTGCTTTTTGGCAGCGGCCTCAGGATATCTCTCCAGACCAACAACGCCCTGATTGATGGTAAGGGGTTTCATTTTTTGATGCAGATTGCAGCATGTGGAAGCTGTCACTGTCTTCTGATATTGCATGCTGATGAGTCAAAACAATCCTGCTTTCATCAACGAACGCATATTGGTGATTGGACGATCTGGTCCCAGCTTTCCCTCAATAGACCTTTCAAATCAAATCGACAGCCGTCTGAATCTCACTTGAGCGCCCCGTGCTTCAGCCTGGGCCCACTGCGGGGAGGTGGCCTATGGCTGGCATGCGGTCGAGCGGCTGAAGCGGCAGGGGCTGCGGCCCGACTGGTGGACCTTCAACACGCTCATCAAGATGCATGCCCTGCAAGGGGACAAGGACGGGGCCTTCCGCGCGTTTGAAGCGATGCAAGCCGAGGGTGAGGGAAAGGGAGTCCTTTCGAGGACTTGTTTCTGCGACGGAGTAAGACGCGATTATGTTAGAATCATATTGAAGTCAAATGGTGTTCTTGAAAGATTCCGTGCATCACATAACGTGGGAAGCAGGCACACACTTAGAAGAGAGGCAAGAACATAAAAGGACACCTCCTACAGCACGCCTCAAGTGAGCAAAACCATCAGTGATTGATGTCTGGTGTAGGTATCCGGCCCGACCGTGTCACGTACAACACTCTCCTGGAGACCTGCGTCCAGGCGCGGAGGTTCGACTCCGCCCTCTCTTTGTATCGGCGGTGGCGCAAACAAGGGGAAATCGAACCAGATCAGATCACCATTGCTATCTTATTGGTGAGTTGGATACGGGGAGAGGCAAGAATCGTTGTCAGGCTCGTTGATGATGTTGCTCGCGCCTTCAAAACCAATTCTGGTAGTATTTGCTTCTGACTCTCCACCCCCTTCCAAATCCATGAAGCCACCTGAGCTTCTCCGCAAATTTGCAGCGGGCGGCTGGTCACCAGCTGAACAGCAAGAAGGTGCACAAGGTGTTGGCGGAAGCGAAAGCCGCGGGGCTCAACATGGATGAGAAGGTGAGCCACCGTGATGCTCGACAAAACACAGCAAAATAGTAGGTGTATGTATGAGCACAGTTCTTTTAGGGACCTGGGTCCTCCACCCGTATTCCAGATGCGAAACGAGCGGCTGTTGTCCTTGCGGAGACTGATGACAATTATCCTGGTTGTTGGCGGAGGCTTCGCATCTCCGGTGCTTTCCACACGGGCTGATTGGCGACGAACTGACCGTCGACAACCGCAGATGTACGAGAGTGCCGTCCTGGCGTTTGTTCGCTGCGGCGAGGGTGCCCCTGCGTTGCGAATGTTGGAGGAGATGACGTCAGCTGGCTATCCGCCAGCCATGGAGGCCAGCCAGGTGCTGACCAAGGTGCGTGGCACACTTCTCAGCACGGCCCGCACTTTCCAGCGCATCAGGAAGTTGCGAGCTGCCATGCGCTTAAACTTTGTCACCTGCATCGATGAGAAATCGTACAGAAGATCCTTTCTTAATTTTACTCGACATTATGATGGTGTTGTTGGATGGACTGTCATGTAGTCTGGTCATTCTTACCCGAAGATCGACTCGGTTTGCAAGTTTTACTTTCTCGGTCTGGTCAAGTCGGGCGACTACCTCCAGACCGATGCATGTCTGCCTTGATTTTTGCATATGTAAGTGAGCAATACGAGCGAGCACTGTGCGGCGCCCAGCTTCTTTGCTGTAACTCACTGCGCAAATTCAGGGAATCACGTTGGGCCGACGGCATGTCGCTTCACCCTTCCAATCAAGTAAGGCCCAGGCACTGACCTCGTCCCCCGCTTCACAGTGCGTTGAGAAGGCGTTGGTTCGGGAGTGCAAAGCGGCAGCCCCTGCGGGCCGGCTGCGCCAGTTCCTGAAGGATATGGCGGCGGCGGGGGTGCTCCCGACAGCGGAGACGGGGGCCTCCATTGTCAGGACGCTGGCCCTCACCAAAGGGCCCCAGGCAGCCATGGGTGAGCGCTCAGAGGACAGTGCCCGAGTTCAGAGATTCTGGCCTGCAAAGTGTTCACATGGAAGTATCTGACTACGAAGTATTACTTGCACCCTGTTCCGCTTCAACATACTTGATGATGTTTGGACCTCTCATCGAGTCAACAACTTGTTCAAACGGCTGCTTGGCCACGTGACAGGTGAGGAGTATACGGGTGAAGGCCCCTGATTCACAAAGCGTCACGAAGCGCGGCGTCGGTCCATACAAAGGGGACAATTCTTAGCTGAAACCGAATAATTTGACCTCCCTTGCAGATGTTGCGTGGGAGTTGCAGCGGGGCCACGTGAAGCCTCTTGGAGCTGCCACGTGGGAGGTTTTGCGGAGCGCCATCAAGGACGCTGTCCCGTCCTTGTACAAGCAGGTGAGCTGCTGGCTGTACGGCGTCGCTGACGTAAGCAAGTACTGCGGACGTGGCTTTAAGGAACTAGGGATAAAGGAGACGCAAACGTAAAGCCTTCGCAAATGTTGGGTTTCCCCAGATTGACCACGGCAAGGTCGGCAGTATGGGCCAGGAAGCCATATGCGGTGTGGTTAGAAAGGAGTGAAAAGGACAACCTCCTGAGCTTATCGAGGAGTCCTGGGCAAAGAATCGCAGCTAGATGAGGATGGTTATGCGCAGAGTATGCCGTGCTGTTGCGTCAGCACACGGACCTTGTCTGGTCTGTGCTTCGAATTGCGCGCTCTGCCTATGACGGCCTTGTGCAGCTTCAACTTGGATTCAAGAGCGGACGGCAATCTCCAAGACCTCTCTTTGTTCTGCAGGCTGCGGCTGCGGCACGCCTGCTTCCTGCTGCCTTGGAAGAAGATGGGGAGGAGGTTGACAGGTATGCACTTTTCGAGCACGGCCTTGCAAGGGTCATTGCGCAAGAAGGAGGCCCCCTTCGCGGGTCTTCAGCATGTGGTGGTGGTTCGGGGCAGTGTGTGAAACATCTGCGAAATGCGCGATATAGTTGGCACTCGACGGGCTCTGTTCTTGGCGAAGCTTCAACTTTAATATGGCCACAGGCATAAAGCGTCCATGTGCTCGAACTTCGGGTACAAGAGCAGAAGCTTTAGCTACTTTGAGGGTCCGATCAAAATCCTTCACTGCCAGAAGTCAGTCGGCAATTCGGCCACCTCTTTTTCTCGCCTTGCAGCACTGTGTACGAGACGTGCATTGCGGCCTGCGCCCGGGCTGGGGACGGCGTGTCGGCTCTTACTCTCTTCGAGGCGCTGCAGAAGCGAGGCCTGACCACCGACCTCACCATCGAGAAGGCAAGCTGCTTTCCGCTGACGCCGAGATCCTCGCTCTTGATGCTTTGTCAGCAGGTCTTCGGACTGCGGTGCTGGGAGGGTCTATGTCAGCCTGCAGAGAACACTCTGAGCTTGCAAGGGACGAATTCTGTGCCTAAGTGCAGAGACCACTCGTTTCACTTTATTATCGGCTGCTCTTGAACTGTTATCCCATGTTTTCAATCATATGCGCAAGCAAGAGGAGGGTGGAAGCCACCGCTTTTCCTGGAAGACGAGAGTCGAGGTGCGCAGACGGACGTCAGCACCAGATCTGTGAGATCCAGGGTTTGTGTAACAGCAGATGCACGTGTACTTCTGGCAGGTTTGGCTCGACACCGTTGGGGCGGCGATCCAGGGCGCCATCACGGGGGTTGCGGCCGAGAACACCACCGATAACGAAGACGAACCCGGGAAGAGCACTCAGGTAGGCCAATCTTTCGCAAGTGCTTCCATTGATAAGGAGTGCGAAAGTCGCTAAGCTCGTCGCAGGTGTCTTGAATCTTCTCCATCTGTTGCAGAGAATTGTATGGAACTTCAGAATCCAAAGGTGTCGCGGTCCTACGGCTTCCGTTCGTCTTGCATGTCCTCGGCTCGTCCTAGATTTGGGCAGTCGCCGTAGGTCGCGACTCCGGCTAGACCACGTCCATTCTGTACCCTGCAGGCTGACGTCGCGTTTGGCGGGACCGAGGTCGCTCGCCAGCTGGCCGCGTCGGGGATTCGACTGACGGCCAGAAGTGTCCCCGAACTCATCTCAGCCGTGGCTGCCGCGTCGGACTCGGATGCCGAAATTGCGCGCCGGCCCCGAGAGCCGGACGGAGCGGGGGTGACCCGGGCAATGCTGCTGGTGGACGTACTGCCCAAGCTGGTGAGGCGACTCACAATCTGCTGAATGTTGAGCCTCTTCAAAATGCACAAAGTCTAATTCTTTTATTAGAATAAGGCGCTGAAAGTTAAAACGAAAGTCGCCGACAGGGTCCAAGCCTTACGTGGCGGCAAGGCGGGGGATCAATCTCGTTTGTCTTAGCTGTTCTGGAGTTCAAAGTCAAGGTTCCAAGCTGCGAAGGCTCACCGTGTGCTTTGGGTGCACTCTAAAGAAATGCCGTGCGATCCGTATATTGACTCGCTTTGTGTGCTCGTGCAGTTCGACTTGCCACCAAGTGCTAGTGCGTACAGCGCACTGATGAAGGCATGTTGGGACCAGAAACAGGTGAGGATGTGAGCTCCTTATTAGGCGCACCTAGCTCACCGTCGCTCAAGAAGTCGTGTGGTCGTCATTGCGCTGAAAGGTCCGTTGTGAAGGCTTGCAGAGGAGACGCGTACGGCCAGAGTCCACTGGCAGCGTCTGCTGGTTGTCCTGGTTTACCATTTCCAAGCTGGGTGTAGGTGGATTCAACACCTCGTAACACCGTGCTCCTGTTTGGAAACGGACTATATGGCTGGACAGCTGCACGCGACGCAGGAGCGTTAACTTCACAAGCTTTGCGACTTGGCCAGCAAGCGGTCACTGCGGCAACCTATGACGGGCTTCGAAAGATTGGGTGGTTCCTTCTTGGAGTCCCTCCGTGTCTGCGTGCCTCTGTGGAGGAACGCAGCAAGCTGATGCCCCGTTTTGTGCCTTCTGGTCAGTTCTTGCGGGTTGAGGAGGTATGGCAGCGGATGCGGGTGGCCCAGGTGGTCCCAGACCTTGCCACGTGGCAGCTCCGCATCAAGGCCTTGGCGCGCGAGCGGCTCATCGCAGGACGCGTCAGTGCACTGCTGGCGAGCATGCAGAAGGACGGAGTGGCCCCAGACGAAGGGACGCTCAGGTACTCCGCAAAGAACATTGACAGGTCTTGGCCTAAACGTAGTCAATTCAGCCTAGACAGCCTATGGGAAGCTGTGAAGCTGCGACTTGAGCTTGCTCTTCACGGCTCTTTGTGCTTTCACTTCTTCCAGGCACGTTGAGTATCTTTACGTAATCGCTTGTGTCAGGATGCTGTTTCCATGAAAGACACTGACTGGTCGTGTCTGCTCGTTACAGGACCATGTTGCAAGCCTGCCGGGTCTCGGGTGACCTCCCTGGTGTCCGTTACATGATGAGCGTCATTCACTCCTTTGAGCGTCAGGAGGCCAGCCGTAGCAGCGGCACGGCCTCCTCGGAAGAACAACAGCCACGCAGCACTGGGGAGCTGCCCACGATCAAAGCCCGGCGTGTTGTCACTAGGCGGAGCACGCTGCGGAATCCGGAGCCCCCGCTAGACCCCCTGAAAGAGAGGGACAGACGAAGGAAGCGGTTTACATCGAAAACGTCGGCTGCTGTGCCATCACAAGCTGAGGGCGAAGGCTGGCCCAAATTAGCTGTTGTGGGCTCGCCTGTCACAGACCCATCTTGTTCATAACGGAAATGTCGAGGGGTGTATAGTAGTCATTCTGATGTTCGTATCTGACTTGTTCTTTAGAAAATTATTCTCTTGCGATCTTGGGGACCGCAGTAGTGAGAATGCTGCCGGCTCTGCCCTACTTATTCTGACGTTCGTGTTACCACATTTGTCAGATGTGGTGAAAACCGTCGTTCTCACCGGGGGGGCACCAAGTACATGTGATACTAATATGACTTGAATTGAACGCTGATGTGTCGATAGCGCGCTGCCATATCGTCTGTACATGCGGCGGCCCTCATAATATTGACCAATGGAATTTCGAACCGACCACTGGAAGCTTAAATACATGTGCGCTGCGGTGAACGTACTCAGCCATACATGCGGTAGTTGGAGGCGAATCGAGGTGTGTACGACATGTATGCATCGCACATATGTTCATTTGTAAATTGAGATCATGTCTCGCTTGACCCAGTACCGTGAAGGAGCTTGCAATCACACTCTGACAGGGTGCCCTTTTGAGCCGGGGTTACCGGGGTCATGTGCATATGCACCATTTCGACATTCTTAGTTTGACAAAAGCTGCATTCATTCGCTGTGCAAGGAGACGCCTAGCTTGTACAGCAAAATGCAACTTATGACTGCGGATTGCAGCACCTAGGTCCAACACGCAACTCAAAAATACACGCGCCTCGTAGCTGCAACGAAGCACCTATAGTACATGTCTCATCTTAACAACCCGTACAAGTTGCCTAAGTTCTGGGTTCCTACAGATAGAAAGAATATCACAGAGCTGAATCGAGCAGATTTCAAGTAACAAATTCACAATGTAGACAACTCCACCGACCCTCAAGATGGTACTCAGCTTTTCTTTTTCTGTTTGGGGTTAGGCTTAATGAGCTGCCGAAGCCCATCTGCCGGGGAGATATCCCAGCTCTCAACGTGCCTGCAATACAAGAAAGTTGGCTGCGTAAATGCGTGCGCTCATGCATGTCATAATTTATAGAGTATTGTGCGCCCAACAAGCGAGCATGAGACCCTGTTAGAAGCCCATATTGCACACACAACAGCTTGGCGGTCAGTTCGCTTGTAATTTGGCACTTACTTGACTATTTTCTTGCTTGTTGGGTCGAAGTAGTGCTCTGTTCCCCCGGAAGCTGCAAATAAACTTTCTGTTTGAGCTGAAGGTTTCCGCTTCCAATCTGGGAGGTGCAAGCGCACAAAGTACATTGGTAAGACTCAGTAAGGGGATGCCTTGAAAGGAGACCACCGGCAGCCATGTTCAACTTCACTCTTTAATGCACCCTTACATCAGCAGAACGTGGACATTGACATTGAACCCGGGCATAAGGTATCACTTGATCGTGCTGGCATACTTGATACATTACGTCTCAAACAGACAGTGGAGCCCAAGAAACAAGCCATCGCTTCACGGAGCGCATCGCTTGGCAGAATGAGGTTTCCAACCTGCAAGGATTGGCCGCCAGGGAAGGCCCAACACACATCTGAACCGCCACTTGGCTGCGATCTTATTCTGCAAAGAACAGCAGGTAGGGCGTCAGCATAGCTTCGATGGAGTTTTGAAAGTAAAGAGGACCCCTGTAGAGAAGGCTAGCGGGCGAATCACTGCAGGACTCCAGATTTTGTGGGGGGCAGATGCTTTCGGATGCTGTCATATGCTGGAGCCCAATAAACTTTTTCTTGATATTGATGTCGGCGGGCTTGCCTAAACCATGTTTTCCTGATAGATGTGTCCCAATTCGAAATATCTTTGCGGATGGGGTTAGACCTCGGACGTTAACGTTGGTGGAGGCAATACGCAACAGACCTTTTCACGCAATCGAGCTCTCACCTCAGACTCCTGCCAATCAGTGATGGTCAGGTTGACCTCCTGCAAGGAAGAGGGACATGTCAGAGTGGCAGCTGGGAAGCACGATAAAGCAGTACAATGCATGATTGCGGATGTCCGGTATTGTCAAGCGATCACATGAAGGGGAGAGGCCGTACCTCCATGAAGCTGCCAAGGTTGCTGACATTTCGCTTGAAGCGATAGAGCCCTCTAAAGCTGGCAAACGGGTCCGCAAACTCGCAGTCCTTGTCGTAGATCCGGGTTGTCATGTCGCCTGTGACAATGGCGATCAGCGGTTGATCCGTCAGACATCTGGCAAGACTATGTTAAGAACTTATAATTGACGACGACGCACATCTCATTGAACACTTCATTACTCTTTTGTGCACTTCACAAGCATCATGTGAATGTCAGGGCAAGCTGCAAAGGGCACCTGTGATGCAAAGTTCACATGGTCACCAGACAAGCAAAGCTGACACAGCTGACCCAATTGACTTTGCCCCGCTGACCTGTGACAAAGTACGATTTGTCATAATCAGCCCGCAGCAGGGCCACAACCTCCTCATGGGACAAGGGCAGCACCGCCTCATCGATCTCATCTTCCTCCTCCTTGTCCTTCTTGGGACGAAATGCCGCCACGGCCTGCCCAAACGCCTCTGAGGCATACCACGCAGCCTTCACAGGAAGAGACGACTCTGCTGTTGGCGCAGTCTTTTCCGGTGCCGCTTTACATTGGACTCTTAAATGCTGCCCATACTGAATTGATGAGCGGTGGTGCGCTGTCTTCAGGCTGTGAATTGGGGCACCGCTTAATGAAGCGTGAGTCGAGGACAGAGAGTCAACAAGCTGATTCTGAGGGCACAAAGGATGGCGCAAGAGGGAGGGAGTGCTCGTCACGGGAGCGAATGAGCACGCCATCGTGCTTTGGACGCCAGCTCAATGTGCTGATCGATCGATCGACTGTCCAGAACATACGTTGAAATCTGGGCTGGTCCGGTTATCCCGGCGGTTAATCTAGCACAGGCCACACTCGTCAGCACTCAGGCCGCCCGAGTAGGTATGTTCTCTACTTAGTATACTGTATGACTCCGTCACTCCGAGCTCCGGCCGCGCCCGCTGGTCAAGCAAACCTCGGCCACGTTAACCCGGCTATCATGTGGAAGACGACAATGTTGAGGGAGCCCCTAAAAATCTCTACGAAAGAAAACCATAAACCGCACATTCCCACTGCCAAGGACGCACAAATCCGGAAGTGAAGGGGGTCTGCAGGGTCTTTGGTTGCAGATTCTCCTTCTGGCGTCACCCATTGAGCATGTATTTGCGTCTAAATGTGCCCAGCCTGACGAATGTGAAGGGCGTTTGGGATCTAGGCAAACGATGAGCTGCAGGTGAAAGGAGGGTGAAAGAGCTAGACGTCAGCTCGTGCACCGGCAGTGCGCAAGCCAGCACACTCACTGCAGAACTGTTCTGCTTCTTGAAGGGCCCTCACCGCAATTGCCCATCACATCAATGAGTTGCAAGCGCAATTGATTGAGGCGTCGTTAAACTTGTTGATTGAAATCATGAGCACGTCAAGGCTTGTTGGAGTGCACCACAAAACTGCATGCATCACTTTCCCGCAGACTCAGGATGCTGCCACTCAGAAGAGGAGGAAACTGAGCGTCGCAGCATTGCAGGGGCAAGCAGTGGGGAACCAGATACTCTCAAAGTATGGCAATCACAACTTGTATGTAAGGAGCATCAGACCCTCCTTCCTGCCTCTGAGGCCTCAGCATCGAACACGCTCGCATACAGCGCCCCCCTGTGTTGCCGCGGTGTCCAGCCCCGCTACCGCGGCTGCCCCTCTGGCCAGTGTCGCTGTCTCGTTGAGAACGCAGCTACAGCAGTGGCAGGCGAGCCCCTTGGTGGGAAACTCAGAATGGGCCGTCTGGGCCTTCTTGTTGGCGGCAGGGGCAGCAGGACTCTGGTGAGCTTTCTTTTCTTCCTGGAACTTCATGCCAAGGACACAAGCTCCCCGCGCACCACCTCGCAAGTTGTCCCACCGATGCCCTTGCCAACCTGCAAAGTTTCATGACTTGCTCAAAGTAAACACCTTCGCCAAGTTCAGAGACAAGTTGATCTGCTTGTCAACAAAAGCCCCCTGTACAGCGGCGGTTTGAGTCGTGGACCACTGTCCCAATATATCCCTTGATTTCATCTTGTTGATCACATGTCTGCCCCGAAAAATTGCGTAGGTCTGAGAAGACGACTTTGGGCCAGGCTCTGAGCGGTCCGCTGGTGAGCACGCTGATTGGCCTGGCCCTCAGCAACCTGGGCGTCCTCCCCGCGGCCGCCCCCGCCTACGCTGTGGTCAACAAGTTCCTGCTGCCCCTCGCTGTGCCCCTCCTCCTGTTCAGTGCTGACATCAAGCGGGTGTTTAGCGAGACAGGGCGCCTCTGGCTGGCCTTCCTCCTGGGAGCCGGTGAGAGCCGCCAACCATGGGGACAGCCCCTCCCTCTGCCTGACACGCTCGCATAGCAGAACCAACTTTGATGAAGCGAGTCTTGCATATCAATGGCAATTGTGGTAAATTGTTCAGGAAGAAGTTTGCAGGCCATCCGCATACCAGCGCGCATGCCGATAGCAGCAAGGATCGGTGCTACACAAGCTCAAGGTCCAATCGATCCCAAAATGTGGATCAACGTCAAGTTTACTCTGCTGCAGTACCAATTTTGGCTCGCTTTTACCAAGTCTTCAGGTTATCGATTGGCATAGATGCTGGAGGCCCAAACGGTCCCCTCGATTCATACTGAGTCTACCTGTCCGCATGCTTTGCAAGGTTAGCGGCGACTGTGGCGGGGTCGTTCGCCGCGCTTTCCCTGTTTCCTCTTCGTTCCCTGGGGGAGGATGGCTGGAAGATGGCAGCTGCGCTGATGAGCAGGCACATCGGAGGGGGTGAGTCCTCCAAGTTTGGTTGGGCAGAACGTTGGGAAACAAACGGATGGGACAGTATTTGCATCTCATGATGACAGATCTACCACTACATTTTGAAACTGGACGCATAAAACACATTGAAAAAACAGCAGCTTCATCAAGTGAAAATTGGGCCAGGTATTGATGTCAGATCTTGGCAAAGGTGCGGCAATAGAGACTCCTCAACTTCCAAACCACCCGGAGTACCAGCGAGATGTACATTCTGATAATCTGAACGATCGAACACCGACAATAGAGACTACATTGCTGCGTCTCTTGAAACCCTCCTGGTTGTCGTCATTCCGCCTCCCTTAAGCCCCATGTATCCATCTCGCAGCGGTGAACTACGTGGCTGTGTCAGAGGCCCTCCAGACGTCCTCCTCCATGGTCGCCGCTGGGCTGGCAGCCGACAACCTCATCTGCGCCCTCTACTTCACCCTCGTATTCGCCCTGGCCGCCGGCATTCCCCCCGACCAACCAAGCGCCGCCACGTCATCACCTATCACATCTGCCGCTCTCCCTCCAGAAGAAGGAAAGAGCACATTTACAGTTCTGGAGGGCTCAACCGCTCTAGCACTATCGGCTGCAATCTGCGCCGTTGGGAGCCGGCTGTCCAAGTTGCCTGCGTTGCGCGTATTGGGCGGGGGGATCCCCTGCATGACGGCAGTGGTGGTTGCGCTGGCCACGCTGCTGCCAAAGCAAGTCGGGGCGCTGGCGCCGGCGGGAGAAGCCCTTGCCGTGATTCTTATGCAGGTGAGGCACTGCCTGCCGTGGCAGGCTCTCGATCATGAATATGAACGGGACTGAGCTGCTGATGACCGCCCTCTGTTCCCAGCTCTGAACCCTTGACCCGGAGCCGACCTCGAGCTTCTACTTCAGAAAAGCATTGCACCCTTGGGACCCACTGTGCACTGGAGTCGCCTTCCGGCCTCTCGTTTCAAATTGAGACGAGCATGGAAGTCGATCAATCATTACGGACAAGGAAGGAAGTCCGATTACTAGACGAAAAAGCTACGAAGTCGGACCACCCGTTTCTTCGAAGTTCCGTGTGTTGCGTGCTCTTGCATGTACCGAACAAAAGCCGCCAAGGGACACTTGTCGTTGCGCGTGATCCCCCATGACGTATCCCTACGTGTCTTTCAAACAGGCAAACTCTGTTTCACGCCCCTTTTCTTGGTGCTCCTCCAGGTGTTCTTTGCCACGGTGGGCGCCAGCGGCAGCGTGGCGTACGTCGTGACCACCGCCCCCTCGCTGTTCGCCTTCTCCGCGCTGCAAATCACGGTCCACCTGGCACTGACCCTCGTAAGCGGGCGCCCCTTTTGACGCTGCTCACGCGCCCTTATACTGCGGCTTGAGGCTCAGTTTCATTGACGCTTTCGCTTGATGTCAACGGCTAAGGTCGACCGGGCCACTGGCAATTAGAGGAGTCCGCCGGGTCGAATGGTGGAGTCCCATGCTATCCTCCAACTCTTTGCAGCCAAGGGCCGTTTGATTTGACGAGCCCCTGAGTAATTTGCCCTGCTATTCTCGTATTTGGTCCAGGGCTTCGGCAAGCTCCTCGGGTTCAGCCGGCGCGACCTGCTGCTGGCGTCCAATGCGAACGTGGGCGGTCCGTCCACTGCCGCGGGCATGGCCACCGCCAAGGGCTGGCGCGCGTCGCTGGTGCCGGCCATCCTGGTGGGCATCTTCGGATACGCGACCGCCACCTTCTTGTCCATCTACGTGGGCCACACATTCTTCCGACGATTCTAAATTTCCCTCCTGCCGAGCGGCCAGTGGAAGCATTTACATTCAACGTTTCCAGAATCTCAAGATTAGGAGGATGGCAAGGCACGAGAAATAACGTCTCACTAGGGGTATCGAAGCAGGGAACTTGGTTTCGAGTTGGGACGCTGGCACAGGTGATTGAAGAACATGATGTATAAACTGTTGCGAAGTTGCTTGAGGCTCCGGGGTGTGCAGCAGTCGACATTTCTTTGAAATGAGACGGTTGAGAACGATCGCTGACGGGCCACCCATAGACATATATGCACTGACAAGTAGACAACATTATGCTCGTGCACGAGTTGGGAGAGAGAATGGAGAGGGGCCAGGGCCAAGAAGGCGAAAGGCTTCGAATGAATTCCTACTGCCAGGGTAGTTTTCCCACGTCAGTAAAAAATCATGCAAGCGGACCCGGCAAGCATGCGGAATAATAGATCCATCTCTTTATCGCGAAGTCGGACCATGCGCATGTATGAGTTACAAAGTTGTCGTTAGCAAGCAGCGCATGTACGCTGATTCGACGCGCTGTGACAGGCCGCGGATTGTGTGAACACACGGCTGTTTACCGGTGTGATCCAATCATGTTTGATCGATTGAAAGCTGAAAAGGTAAGTGCTTCATACCCCTCAGTTGATTCCAATTTGCGTGCGGGGCGCGCATGCATGCACTCAGGATGCACTATGTCCCATGATTACTACCAGGCTTCGCCGAACTTGCATGGTATATGTTTCATTGTTGAGGTTCTCCCAATGATATGGGCCAGCCGACCAACATCAATCATTTGATTATAATCCGGGGAATTTCTTGTATCAGCACCCGATTCGCCGGGGCGGGGACAAAGGCCGGCCTACACCGTATATAGCTCTCAATCGTTACGTCGGATGGGGCATGCAGGCGCTACTTGAGCAAGGCTTACCCGTAATTGATTTGGCCTCGATCAATGGGGACGTTGCTTCTCCACGTATTCACTGAGAAAGACGAAGTATCCTCGAATGACAAAAAATGTGGCGTTCTGACGATTCTGACTAACAAACCCGACTAATTCGTCGCTTTCTTGAAGCTCTGAAAGCAATGGAACGCCAGCCAATGCTGCGCTCCATGCGTGCTTTACGAAACAAGTTTGAGATTCTGGGCAATTATCTGCTGCTGGTCGCCAAGAACATTTTCTGAACCTCATGGTTCGTCACGCCAAGTGGCCGGTTTGTAGCATTCACAGTAAGCATGCAAGCCAAGAATTTTAGGTATAACATCAGGACCGACTTCCTCATAACATGCTGTGATCTTGAATCGTTCTTAAATGATCAAAATACAATGCGTTCGATCGAGGACCATCCGAAATTCACGACACACTGTGCTCGCTGGACAGGATAGCGTTGCGAATAAGAAGGGATGTCAAGTATGTCAATTGCGAAGCTGATGGGGTCTAGTAAAAGAGTTAAAAGTAGCGGAGCCGCAAATTCGGATGATGAGCTAAGAAGTCACAGAACGGCGGCCCGCTTTACAAGCTACTTGAGTGGTAAAGACAAGGACATCGGATCGCGGAGCGCTTGCGAAGTTCGTTCGTTGCAGAGGATGGATTCATAAATTGCGGTCGAGGCGGATTCAAATGCAGACGATTTAGAATCAGGTGGCAGGATTTGCAGCTTTTGGTCTATGATCATGAAACCCGTTCACATTGTAGCAGTTGTGCAAACGCTTTCAACGCTTCGCTGGAGTTCACGGGGATCATACACCGTCTATTCTGGCGTTACTGGCAACTGCAGAACATGGTGTGCATATTGCGCAAGCCGACGAAAACAAGCAGAGCATTCGGCCCACGAAAGGTGGAATGAACACTTGGCCAAACGGATCAGCCTCTTCTCGGATGTGGTGGATTGATGTCACGCAGTGCTGCATCGGTTGAACGACTGGAGCTGACGGAGCAAGCGTTCCCTGTAATCTGCGTACACTGGTTCACATCCATGCGTACATGCACTTGAACGATAAAGCTTGACGAACAAACCGCCATGCAATCAACGGAATGATATGTCGTTCCGTTCGACCCATTGGGTGCATGGTGGATCAGGAGTATATAAAAGCAGCTATCTTGGGTGTTGTGCATATCTACAGTGGTATACAATGCCTACGGCTGTAATGAGTTATGGCCAACATTACAGGTGAACATTCTGCGACGATGACAACGTCATCACGAAATCTTTAATGACTAGCCTTCATGTTTTTTCCAACCTAAAAAGACTGATTCGTGACTCAACCACTAGCAAAGCTTGTAGCAAAGCAGCAAAATGACTCAAGGCTTGCTGTAGAGCATACACGCGTCACATCAATGTCAAGACTGAGAACACCAGAGTCGTCATTATGGCAATGGCGCTGTGGCGCTGCAGCTAGTACTGAGCACTGACGAACTGCGCAGCTCAGTAGGCCAGCCCGGCCGGCGGCCGGTAGGAATTTAGACTCCCGAAAGCCTTAGTGGCCCGATCGGGGAAAACACAGGTCCCAATGATTGTCCTTGCAATTGTGTACAGGAGTCGGAAGTCGGAATGTAGCAATGTAGCGACTGCCGTCGATCTGGCGCTCAGGTTTCAATCGCAGGGTTCTGCTCCGTTGACGGGTGTCGTGCCTGCCACAAGGTGACGTACCCCAGCCCTCTCACACGACGGGCCAAGTCCCGACATAAAGCCGTACGGGAGGGGACGTTCCGGCACGTACCCGCCAATCTTGGTGACGAAACCGACGGTTCTGGACTGTTGCGTCAGCATTTCTGCGCTTTTTGCACGAAAAGCTTCCCGGCCGCCCACGCTTTGTAGGGTGCGATGACGTAACCCAACTTACGTAAACCAGCCCTCTCCAGCTCAGCTGCGGCTTTGCTGCCCTTGGGCCCAGGGCCTATCATGGCGCATTGCGGCTGAAGTACAGCTACCTAGGAGAATGGAAGCCACCTCTTCCGTAGGCAGCGGCCCTTTGACTTTCCTTGGCCCCTGAATGTGGCTCCAAAAGGTGCTGGGGCTTCATTATCTAAACTGATTAGCCGTTTGGACCGGCTTGATTAGGGCTTCCAGGCGCATTCTGGTTGAATCAAAGCAAGCAAGTAGCTTGTGCCTGCAGCACTCAGCCGAAAGCCCATTGGGGGCGTCTTTCAGTGGTGCAGCAAAGTGTGAGCTCCTGTCGGTTTGCAACCACCTTGCGACGTCCTTGAGGCGTCCTTGCATTGCCGCGTCAGAGTGCACCAGCATGGCTCAGCCAGCAGAGGGCTACCCGGCTGGCGGGCCAGCTCCTGCTGCAGCAGCTGGGCGGCGGAGCCGAGTCCCAGCTCGATTGATAGTGGGGCCAACCTCGGCAGTGGTCACCGAGGTGAAAACTCCCAGCTCACCGCAGTTCCTTCTTCTGGGCAGCTTGCATTGCTGGGTTGTGACCGTCGTGGGGAGACCAACATTGGACAACTTGATTCGGACTGCTGGTCTGTCACCGGCTGAAGTCTGGTTGAGATGATGGTTGAAATCAAAGTCTAGGCATTGCTGGAAGGTCACTGGAGATTGTGGGTTGTTGAGGCCTCCAGCGGTGATCAAATCAAGTACAAGCTCATTACAGATATACCCACTGACAGTAGTGCCATTGTCTTGGGCTTCCATTTCCAGCTCCTAACCTTGAGCCGCAACACTTTCAATTTGGTCCTGCTTGCCGAAGTCCTTTTCATATGCGTTGGATTAGGAGATTGCTGGCATGGACGTCCTTGTGCGCGTCTTCTCCCCTGTCGTCCATTCTTCTAACGCAAAGCCAAACTCTGTCATTTGTCCCCCTTTGCGGCATTCCAATGGCTGATACCTTAAAGAATCTTTCCTGTTGTTTGATTGGCAACCTTCCAGTTCAGCTAGACCTTGTTCAACTCTCAGGTGAATGACTGGGCTGATGCCAGCTTGCTGCTCTTCCACGAGCCCATCCGATTGGACCTTCTGGAGCTGGACCACGTCATGTCCCCCGCCTTCTATGATGGCCTCTCTGGCTGGAAGACGGGCCTCTTCTACAAGTGGTTCAAGGCCTACTTCCACCCCCTGGTTAGTCTCTTGCCGCTCATGCACAGCTGGGAACTTGGGCCATCGTGCATTTTGATGAGAACGCAGCTTACACTTTTCAAAAGCTTCGGATAGGTGCGTTGAAGTCGAAGTTGAAGGTCATGGATGCGGTGTTCCTTCACACCTACCTGAAGTCCCGCCTGGCTGAAATGGCCAGCCTTCCTGCCAAACAGCAAGGCAGCTCCCTAATGGGCCCTTCCTTGAGCCAGAGCATCTGGGCCCAGCTCGGTGATGTTCAACAATCTTACTTTGCCGCAAGGTTGAAGGAGCCTCTTGTGACGTTGGTGCATGGTGACCCCCATGTTAAGCTATACGCATCTGGGGCAACAGAGTTCTCACTTCTCGTCCTCCAACCAATGCGCTGTCCCTCCCCTTGCAGGTGTCCCACCAACTTCAGATCTTTGCGACTGTTCTTCTGCCCGCTATCGCCCGCTATCGTGGGCAAGGCCCCCGCTGCCAGGATAAACCAAGAGGATCTTCTTTCCATGCACCCCTGGATTTCCAACAAGCTGGAGCAGGTTCGCCGCCTGCAGAAGCGGTTCAAAGTTGCTGCCAACCACGTCATCCTGGCACAGTCCTTGCAAGAGCAGCGGCAGGCGGCGAGCGACCTGCGCGCGTATATCAAGGAGCTTCTGACGTGCATCACGGAGCACCTGGCGCGGGTCGAGATGGCGCTGCTGCCTGTGATCCGAGAGTACTTCTCAGAGGAGGAGTGGCAACAGGTGAGACCAGCGGCTGCAGTTGTGTTGCTTAGATCTCTAGCTGTAAGCATGGAGGATGCAGTCAATCACGATGTCAAGAAAGACGGTTTGGCTGTCTGGGCTGCGGTTGTTGTGGCTGTTGTTTCCGGTCTGCTATATTTGAGCATTGATATTGAAACTCAGCTGACGGAATGTTTTTACCTGCAACTCTATCCGGAAGATCTTTCATTCACCAGGAGGCTTGTTGCGACGTTACCTGACATGTTGCAAGGTCTCGAATACGGTCGTCTCGTGTTGCCCGGTTCAAGTTTTCAATTCAAATCCTTCTGGTTCTGCGCTCAGCTTCTCGACTATGTTTCCTATGCTCGTTTCCCTGTCTGTCGAAGATTGAATACGTCAAGGGTCATACGTTCAGTCCATCCACAAATCATCCCGCCATAAGGCGGAGCAACGGAGATCTCGATCCGACCAGCTGCTGTAGCTTTTTGTTGTCCCTCACTCCTTTTCCTGGCCCCGCCCCTTTGCGCTTTTGTTCCTTCTGGGAAATATTCAACAAGAAAAATATTCAATTAACAGTGAGCTAGGCCAACGTTCTCGTCGTGAGGCTACCTCTTCCGATCTGGTTCATCGGTTTTGAGCAAGCACTTGACTGCTGCTTCGCGTTCTTCTGATCCCGACATTGTCTCACGCTCGGATTCTCCATCCTCCAGCTGGCGCTCAAGGTGTTGTTGGGCCCCCCGGGGAAGCGGCTCCGGTCGAAGCAGCTGCCGTGGATGCTGGCGGCGCTGCGCGTGTGGGCGTCCCCCGACCGGGTGGCCGCCTTCCGAGCGTCTCTGCCCCGCACCACCCGCTTCCGCCTCGAGTACTTCTGGTACTGCTCCTACGTCAACGGGGCGGCCAAGCGGCTCCGGCTCATTAAGAACGACTACCTCCCATGGTGACCCACCCACGCGAGAGCGAGCCCGTGGGACAGTTTTTACAAGTCTCGCCGGCATTGTAAATACATAGGCACGCAAACGAGCCGCGACTACTAGATCGACGAGCAACGAGAAGCGTCGCCTGTCAGCATATGCACATGTAGATAAAATGAAGAACAGTGCGTGCTTGAAGCGAGATGAGGGACTGTTGGCTTTGAGAGTCAGCAGCGGCGACCCTATTGTAGACCTCAGGCAGATCCCGCGGCAACTTGTTTCTGGTGTTTGGCGAATATGAACTTCATGCCGCAGCGCTTCGACCGGTCTGCCCAGCTGAGAGGGGACGTCACGTTGTCAATAGCGAAGAAGACGTCCAGCATGATAACACGAGACTCGATCGCTGTGTGGTACCCGGCCGATCATGTAAAATTGGCTTGAAAGAAGTAGCTAATGAGTAGTCCACTGTGAGCTGATCGGTTTCCAAGCGACCATCGAGATTTTGAGAACAATTTGGCAACGATGTATTTTTGTGAACGATTACATACGAGTCCAGCAGATGGCGCGCTCGTGTGGCCGGCGCGCTGCATCCGCCTTTGACTCTCCAAATTTGCGCAAACGGAACCATAAAAAGCCCTTACCGTACACGGTCCAAAATCAGTGGGTTCGACTTCTTTGTACTGGGCCCGCTGGTCGTTTCCAAGAAGGCTCAGGGCAATTGAATCGCACCGTGCCATGCAGGCTCATCTACATTAGGATCCAAGCTGCGTGACTTTCAACTTCCCAAAATATACCTGTGCGCACGTGCTGGCTGAAAATTAATGCTCGCTAAGTTATAGCTAGTATGCAAATGGGCGCGGCGCGCCCATACCATGTGTGGGCCGCTGCCACCTTCGGACTGAAATGATCATGTACCTGTACTTACAGTTTGTTGATTGATATCTGCTCGATATCAGACCGGAGGCCGACAATTCCTAATAAGTGATGTCAGTCAACAGAACTAGCGATTATGAGCGCGTCCGTGAGCTTATATGTAGATTTTAAGTTAAGTGATCGACCACGTTAAAAAGTACGTATAATCATGCACTCGGGCCATGGCCATGCTGCACACATGATTGAATTGTGGACGGCTACTCGAGTGCAACACCCACGAGGAATTTGTTGCCACCTCTCTGGTGTTATGAAAGCGAGTGCAGGCTTTGCACATGCCTGTTCAACCGAGAAGGTACCCCAGCTAATATCTTGCATGAGCACATTGCAGCCAGTAGCTTGAAGCAGGCCCACACAAATGTACGTCAGACGCCACGCATTGACAAACAACGCGCATGAGCTGGGCAGTCGATGGGCCGGCTCAGCGTGTTTCCGATGATATCTCTTCCGACTACCTGTACTACTAGTTTTGTCATTAGGATTCTGCGAATCGGATCCGTTTCAATAAAAATTCGCACAGTGCATGACGTTGATAGTACGTCTGACAAGATCGGGATGACCGGGCACTACGGCTCTTGGTCAAGGCGTAATGGAGGGGAGCTCTTGGTCGGCCTACACTTCAATGTTCAGCTTTGAGTGCCGACTATTCCAAAACGTGTCACACATCAATGCCGGCCACCTTCAAAGCGTCGCGCACCCAATCTGGGATGTCGCCTTTAGGGAACTGCAGAAACAAGGTGATGTTATGACGCGTCAGCACCTCATTTCAGTGCGTCTGATCAGTCGTCCGACTCAAGCAGCAGGGAGCAAAAGCGACGGGCAGGGAGCGAACACGAAATACTTCAATAAGATGGAGGCCCTCCTTGCATGCTTTAACGCTCAGCTTTGGGGTCCGCGTCGACCGGATAGGCTCGGTAGTCAAGTATACGCAAACGTGGCGGATTGCCATAAGGATATTGATGGCCTTTCTAGGACAGACAGGGTCCTAGCGGGTGAATCAGTGGTGAGCCCTAGCCTTTGATCCATTTTCCAGTCTACGCGGAAACTTCTGGTGCGAGCAAGCGTGCTCAGAACGGGGGTCGAACGGCCGCATGTCAGACGAGCGTGTGACACAGTGGCCGCCTCATGCACTCTGGAGGATGCGCAACGAGAGGGCTCGCTACCTGACACTGCAGGAAATCGCGCACATACCTGCGGAGGAGCGACTCGGTCAGCTGCGGGGGAGTGTGACAGTGAAGCACTGTGCAATAGACGGGAGCCTCCAAGGATCCGAAGCAAACTGTACTTCACGGTTCTGCTCACTTCCTCCTGCAACTGTAACCCAGTCTAGTTCGGGATTTCCGGGGCGCATGTGGGGTTGAAATCGAAGAATGCGCAGGGCATCAAATACGAGCACGCCGCACCAGATCACAGCTTTCTCCGATGCACAACGGATCCCAAGACTGCATTCCCGCCTTGACCCGTGGGTGAGCAGCGCAGGCAGAGGGTTTCTCATTCATTCCGGAGGGGGTTTTGCGGACGTGAGGCCTTACTGTGGGAAGCGCTGTTGGGTGATGGCGGTGCGGATGTCGCGGGTGAGGCGCATCATGTAGGCCACGTTGTGGTAGCTCACCAGGTACGCACCGATGGGCTCCTTGGTCACCACCGCGTGCAGGTACGCGCGCGTGTACTTCTGGCACACCTGCGCTCCGGCAAAACACAGGTCAGGACCGCTTTGCCAACGATCTGAGTATATGCGCGACACTCTCAGGGTGGCCGACCGCCAGGTCGAGTACAAAAAACTCGGGCCACGCATCGCGGTACGCCCCGACCTTGGAGAGACCCTGCATACTTCGTCAGTCGCATTGAGACGATAAGGAAAGGTCCGACTTTCGACATGGTACATCTCTCAATTATAAACAGTGATCGTCCCGGGCACTATTCACCACGTCAAGATCTTCCGACGAACTTGAGACCAGCCGCACTTTTACCAGTCTAAAGCTACCGAGGCCTGGCCAGTCTGGGCCTACAAAGTCTCGTTCTGGCACCTTCAACGCAGAGTGATGGACCGTTATGTTCTAGAAACAAACTTCCAAGAGTAGACGCGTACCATGCAGGCGCAGGTGGGGTCGATGGGCCGCATGTCGTGCTTCATGTCCGCGAGCTTGAGGCGCAGCGTGCCCTCCGGCACCAGCGCGGTGCCGAAGCGGGCGGTGCGCGTCGGGTACACGCAGTCGTACATGTCCGCGCCCAGCGCGCTGCACACCACGATGTCCAGCGGGTACCTGCGCGCGCACATGGGGGCGGATCCAAGGGAGGGGGGGGAAAGGGAGAAATCCTCCGCTAACTTCCCATCCAGCCCAGTTTCGACTGTCTTCAACGCAGAGAGAGGCGAGAGTTCACAGGCGAAGCACACCTTACTTTCAAAACGAGGCTACATATAAGGTACAGAAATGCGGGAGGAGGTACGTTCAGCTTGCGACTAGACATCAGAGATCGGTCGTCAGAAATCCTTGGATTGAAGAACATCTGATGCTCGATGTTGGATTCTCCACAAGATACGGCAGGAATTGCAGATCCGCTCGGATCGGATCCTCCAGTGCAGGAACGAACGAGAGGTCATCAGCGACAATGGAGGAGGAGGAGCAACTCACCCGACCCCCTGCACAAAGAACACGAAGACGTGTCAAAACAGAGAACCTCTTTCAGCTCAGGCTGGAGGATCTGCCAGCTTCCCGGAACATCCACAATGCAGCTAGCGGCACGAGATGATACACGGATTCATTCCTCGAAGGGAGACAACAATCTTTGACACGGAAAAGGTAGCCGTCTTCTCGACAATGGACAAGGCGGCAAACATGTCGATGCATAGTCTGCTCACCATGACGTAGCGCGGCTTGTTGTCGGGCAGGGCCGCGGTGCACTGAGCTACGACCCGCCAGAAGGACGCCTTGTCCTCGCCGCCGGCCAGGCCGCCAATGGCATACCTGCAGGCCAGGAAAGAGCAGACTCGTGAGCAATTCGCATCGATAAACTGGGCATGCGCTCGTCGCGAAAGTGCCCCTCTCTTTGCTCTGGTGTGACTTTTCTCGACATGTGCAAGTAGATACATGTTGGGCCGTCCAGTAATATGGGGTTTTCGCCAATCCGAATATCTGCGCAGCCAAGTCCAGACATCCAAGACCAAAGGCAGCAGAGCACGCTTCTTTCACTCATCTCTTGGAAAGCCTCGGACGAATGCACGCTCACCCGGGCAGATCCTTGTCTCGTTCCATCATCCCTTTTAAGCAAAGGTCCCTGCATATGGCCAAGCATTGTGTTGAGGGTTTGGAAGGCCTGAAACTGCAACCTCAAACTGGAAGGCCTAAAAGTGCAACGTACACGACCCCGACCTCCAGAAATAGTACCGTTGGAACCGTGCTCACTAGGTCCTCGGAGGACAACAACAAGCAAGATTGAGAGCAAACGACATAGAGTCTCACCTGAGACGGGGGTCCAAACCCCCCTGAATGATGCCAAACAGGTTCTGCTCGTTTGATCGAGAATGAGCTGCACGTGAGGAAGGAATCGGGTGAGCCCCTATCCAGGATGGGCAACAACCCCGCTGATACATGTTCTCCATCAACCCCAGACCACTTTACACCTATTTAGTTACTCGACTGAGTATCAGCCACGGGGGTGTGGATGAGACTCATTTCGTGGAGTGCGAGAGCGAGCGTGTCTCGTTCCCTTACCTTCAATGCATCGATCAATCCAGCGCAGGGTCCGGTGCATTGCTTCCTCGATGCGAGGGCCTGTCACTAAGCTGCTGACCTGAGGAAACAAAAGGAGCAAGTCTTCGATCGATCAGCCCGGCTCACAACTAAGGAATGTAGAGCAGAGTTAAACCAGAGCTTCCTTCGTCAGCACAGCAATCACATAGCACTAAAAGCAAACAGCACTTTAGGTTCTCAGGCTGCTGACCAACAGCAGTCGTGAAGAAGCATACTCACCACGTCATCGAGTGCCATAATGATGTCAGCGCCAATCTCGTTCTGCATCACAAAAAGAAGCACGTCAGCGCTGCACCTCTACTCAACGACTCAAAGGGCAATTGGCTTGCAGTTTCCGTCTTGAGCATGCACGCGCAAAATTTTAAGGGCGTTCACTTTCGACCAACAAGCATCAGGTATTTGAGCTCAGCTGAGGTTGGCTGCCAAAACGTGCTGACCTGGATGCGGATGGACTGCTCTGGCGTGAGCAGCATGGGCCGTCCGTCCACAGGGGACTGGAACGTGACGCCTTCCTCAGTGATGTCCGCCAGGTGCAGCAGCGACACCTGGACACAGAACTCCAAAATGATGCCAACGGCCAAATAGGCAGGCTGGACGCCTGGAACCGTAAGCGCTACCAGCCAGTGGTCAAAAGCGTATGTGACGGTCTGTGAAGCTAGCCTGCTGACAAGAGTGGCATCACTGCACCACCCTCGCATCACCTTTTGTTGAGAAACGGCAGGCAATTGCCCAGGTTTTGAACTGCGGGCACAGTGAGTGATAATCTGGTGATCTGTACTATTAGCGCATTACCTGCTTTTGAAGAGTCTCTGACATGCTCACATATGGGGCTCAAGGCCGCCCGGATAAGCAGAGATGAAAGCCTTCCAATTGGAGCAGTTCGCAGAATCCATTTCAAGAGGAATCAGAGCGCCACCTAGCAATAGTCCGTTCAACTGAGAGGAGGGGGCTGACCATTTGGAAGCCCCCACTGTCAGTGAGCATGCCGCGCTTCCAGTTGATGAAGTGGTGCAGGCCGCCCATGCGGTCAATCAGATCGGAGCCAGGGCGGTTGGCCAGGTGGTACGTGTTGCCCAGGATCACGTGGCAGTCCAGCTCCGCCAGCTGTTCGCTCGTCAGACCCTTCACACTGCCTGCACCACCGTGCGCCACACCGACCGGTCATGATGGAGTGGAAGCATAGCAATCGCCTTCTATCTGTCAGGTCTCAACAAGGGGCCCCCACCAAAGAGGGCGGGACTTTGTCACAGCGGAAAAGTCCTGATGAGCGACATCCAAAGTTTGAGATGCTAGGGCTGAGAGGACGAGGATGATGAAACAGCTGCCAAACAATGTTGGCGAACGGAATTCCAACTGTCTCCACCTTCTTGACGCTGAAGCAAGTAACCCAACCAGACTCAATTAGGTGGGGAAGTAGCTGGCGGTGTACCTTGCGTGCCAACGGGCATAAACATGGGGGTGGCACACTCATAGTGTGGGAGAGTCAGCTGTGATGCGCGCGCCCGCCCGGAGCGAGCCAGCACCTGCATACAAAGTGCGATGGGTGGTGGTGCGGCCAGGCAAAGAGAAGCCACCTTGAGACGTGCCCCTCAACCAATCTTCATGGGCTTCTCTTCAGGATTAATTGACATGCTATTTCTGTGGCCTGCGGATGACAAGGACTCTGCCGGAAAACCATCAATTACAAACACGATTGGAGACACAGCACGAAAGCTGTCGCTTGCAAAAGGCAAGGTAGTCTGACCTCAAATTGCAGCGCCATCGATGCGGCATCGACGTGCTGGCTCAGCATGCGAAGAAACCCGGCGGACGCCACAGCGGAATGTATTCGACCAATCAGCGTGCACAGGGGCTGCCGTCAACTCCAAAGGGGGGTCAAGAAAAGTACCAAAGCCAAGAATAGTCCGCAGAATCAGTAATCAGGGCTCAGCATTAGGGGAACATAGGGCTCTGCAGGGTGCAGTACAATGCTGCCGGCCAAAGTGTCACGTTACTGCGTAGGCCTGGATTCTGAAGAGTAATTAGCAGTGTGCTGGGCCCAGTGCGTCCCTTCTTCGTGTGAGCTTGTCCGGGTCAAAACGCTCTATGATGAGAGCCTCAGCAAGCGAACTCTCAAACTCATCTTCATGTGCAGAGCGGCGTCATCAAGGGATGCCTGGGATTCAACTGGAGGGCCGCAGCAGGCAAGCTGAATGCAAAGCTTGCCATGCCTCCCTAAAGGCTTTTCTTGACGGTGCTCTTGTGCTGGTACAAGGTACGTCTTTAGCTATCAAATGGCCCACACACGTCGAAACACTGAAAGCTAGCACAGAAAGATTGAATCTAAAACCTGACAGTGAAAGCAACATGGGGTGCACTGTGCAGCCTGCGCTAAGATTGTCGCTCACCACCATCAAGCGGGCGCGCGCGCGTACTCTTTGCTCAAAGTAGCACTTCTTCTTGGGGGGGCCCAGAAATGGTCTACCCAGTGCCCCCTCGGAATATTGCCGAAGCAGGGAGGGAGTTCCCGTCTGCCTGCACCTTCTCCTTCTGGCACCTTCCAAGTTCCAGTCAGAAGCTCCGCCCTGAGCGGGGGCCCTGAGAAGGCGCTTGCTTGTGCAGAGTCCCATCCAGGTGCTGCTATATCTGGCGTCATTTTCGTCGCCTTTTTGCCAATGTAGCCAAGGCCCTCGAGCTGCTCCGCCTGGATGTTGGGTGCTCTGCGGTCGGTGCGCTTTGAAAAGGCCTCACGACTTTCAGTATTTATGATGGCAACAAAAGGAGGTTCATTTGGTTCTGCAAAGGATCTTGCGAGCGGGGCAGGGGCAAGCCTGGGGTGTGGCACCATGAATGGCTCGAGCTTTGCCAGTCCGGAGGGTGCCATAACCCAGCCACAAGGATCAGTGCCTGCCCTGCATCTTGCGCCTAGTCCTGGCGCTGAAGCTGCCCAACACGGTGGCAGCACACGGGGGGCTCTCAGACGGTCCAGCCGCAGAGCGCTCCTGACAACCCCAAAGCCTGACATGGAGTTGCACTCAGTGGGGGCGCCAGATGCCCCCACAGCTCAAGTCCCTCTAAGTGCTGCTCCTGCTGAAGATGGCACCTTGGGCATGTTGAATGAATCTAGGGTTGTGCCAGTGTCTGTTGATGCGCCAGGAACACCGATTCGGAGGGCGAGCGCCCGCTCTCGAAAGAGCTCAAAGCAGGTTGCATCACCCAAGGAAGAAGCCGTAAAGGCCGTGAAGAAGGCCAAGGTGTTGCAGGATGCGGCGGTGCCGCTGTTGGATCCTGCAGCTGTGAGGGACGAGATTGGGGCGCTGGCGGCGCTCCCTGTTCCGCGCAGCCTGCTGGAGGAGGAGGTCATGCAGGCAGCCATCGACCACCTGAAAACAGCAGACGCAGGTGGGTGCAGAGACAGCTGCCATGGGGCAGCAAGCGTAGGCAAAGCCTTCGTACCAACTCAGCCGCCTGCTAGCTCAGGTACATATATTGCTGGGTCTCACATGATAGCGTCTGACAAGACCTCCTTAGGTTGTTTTATCAAACAGGCAGCTCAGGCAGGTCGCATCTAGCTCCTTCATTGTATGTCTGAAGGTTCAGAGTCACTGCTTGGGCCAAAACATTCTGATGAGTTTCAGATACATACGTGTGTTCAGCTTTGAGCTGTTGCCCTGATCTGAACAACTTCTGATGAACCCAACAGGTTTGGCTGCAATCATTGAACAGCATACTCCTCCAAACCCAGCGGCACGTGACACAATCTCGCCATTCAAGGTATTCACTACTCTCAGTGGCTGGGGTCCAAACACACTCTGCTTGATCAGGCCATTTCGTGGCGCAATGTTAGATTGTCAACTTGGTTGAAAGTTTCAGGAAGGGTCTTCGGCCAGAATTCCCCTTTACAGGAGGCCTTTTCGTACGCTCAGTTCATGCACCCTCTCTGTATCATGCCCCTGCGCACAGAGTTGCTGCTACCTTTTCGGCAAAAACATCCGCATGGGTTTGTTGTGCTTGTGCAGGCCTTGGTGAAGAGCATAGTGTACCAGCAGCTCGCTGGCAAGGCGGCGTCCACCATCCATGGCCGGCTCGTTGATCTGCTGGGGGTGAGATGCGCCCTCCTCTTTCCTGCAACCCCTCAAATGTGTAGGACCTGCTTTGCACTGATGTGCGTGCCGTTTGCCGCTAGTGGCTGCCAGGGCCACTCGTGAACCGAGCAGTCAGAGTCAGGGAGACCCGGAATCAGTCACGTTCCCATGGCAAACGTTTTTGTCTTTCTTCCTCTGCAGGGCGCGGACTGCGTAACCCCTGACCGCATCTTGGCCATTGATGCAGAGCAGCTTCGCACAGTGGGCCTTTCTCGACAAAAGGTAATAAGCAAGTAAGAGCATAACAGTGTCCTATCGTTTTGACCCATCAGAAAATTCCTTCTTGATCTTTTTGTCTCCTTTTCTAGTGCTTCTCATAAACATAGGGAGAGGCGGGGCCTTCATCCGAGGTATGTGAGACATTCGCAGCACTGTCGTTGTGTGCAGGCCAGTTACGTGCATGATCTGTCGAGCCACTTCCAGTCCGGAGCCTTGTCAGACGCGGCGCTGCTGTCCCTCGATGACGCCCAGCTGATGCAGAAGCTGACAGCAGTTAAGGTGAGGGCGACAAGATAAGGCCTGCCGTACAAGAGGTAGTCTGGCGCGAGCGGGCCAAGTGTGCTATCCACCCGGCCACCGACATTCATTGCGGCATCGTAAAGTTTGTCTCCTCTTGTCAATCGGCGGCTGCCTCGAGTAGCAGCCCTTCGTACCGTGGTTCATAAGCAGTACGCCGCCTCAGTCGAGGATTTGCCATAATTGCGGCTGCGGGTTTGGTTGTGCGCAGGGGATCGGCGAGTGGACGGCGCACATGTTCATGATGTTCACGTTGCACCGGCCGGACGTTCTGCCCACGGGAGACCTGGCGGTGAAGAAGGTAAGCCTGCTCCGATACCACTTGGTCAATTGGCGAAACCTGACTGCCGAGGGTGCGCGCGGCCAATGTTGCGAAAGAAGCGTTCACCCAGATTGTCAATTTAGTCGCATCCGCAGTCTCGTCGGAAGGGTTGTGCATCCAAAGAGCAATACGGGGCGTTCAGACTGGACACAAGAAACAAGAGAACCGTGCACATTGGGCGGGCGCTTGCGTCCTATTCGATCTCGAGCGTCAAGTCGTTCGCGTGGCACAATCATCAGCTCGAGGCAGATCTCTGAAGTGCCGGGGAGGGATGGTCACTCTAGGTAGCTGATGTCGTTACGCACCTGCCTTTGCAGGGCTTTCAAAGGCTTTTTGGCTTGTCTGGGCTCCCAACGCCACAAAAGATGCAAGAGTTGGCAGAGCCTTGGAGGCCATATCGTTCCGTAGGTTCTCTTTACATGTGGAAGGTACAGGACACAGTCGTTCCGGCAACAGACTAGGGGTCTCTCGCTTCTTGGGAAGTGTGATTGGCAACTTGATAGTTGTGATTCCCTTCGAGCGCTTTCATGTTTTTGGAGCTTTTTATCCTGCTTTTAATGTAAACCTTGCAACTCGCAAAACATTTGGAATTTCAAGATCAATGCTTCGCGTTTGAAAGAAGTCAACATAGACGCTCTTAACGGCCAATCAGCGGCAGTGGTCAGAGTGGTTGTCTCTCTTGTAGGATCAAACAATGAAGGTCAAAGGAATACGATAAGGGAGATTGCGATAGAACGTGACGGCAACTCCTATGTGAACGTGTGTGCATTGACAGCATGTACGCTAAGCACACGAGCCTGCTCCGGCATCCAGAACTGATGAATTCATTCCAATGATCATACCATGGCCGTCACGCGTGATACCGGTATACGCTTTACTTACGGCTTCAGTGGAAACTTGTCAGTGTGGGGCCGGACGCAACTGCACACGGCCAAAGCACGACCGACGTACCTCTTGCACTCTTGCACGAGCTTTGGCTTTGGCGATGCAACATGCCCTCATATACAGGCCAGCCCTCCCGCAGGCCTCACGTCTCATGCATACATGTACCTAGGTGATATGTAGGACCCAGGTGGACTGGTAATAGGTAATAGGGCCAGAGGTCACGACCAATGGTCATTGGTTAGTCACCGTCATACAGGGATTCATGGCGGATTGCTCACATTTTCGGATCAAGCCTTCCTGCAATTGCCGTCCATTACATTCATCGGCGGCTAAAAGTCGAGCCTTTGCTGTTCAAATTTCAGCTGAGCTCGGCCTGGGACTCGGGAGGCTGGCCCCTGCGGGCGGCAGCAGGCCTTGGCGACCGGCGTATTGGCCGGAACCGGTTGAAAGTACGTTCGCAACGTACGCACGTGTGGCAGCATTTGGCAAGCTGGACCTGTTGGATAGGCGCCCGGGAGGCGGGTTCGGTTGGCTTGGTGGTTAGGGTGGGTTCACGTGCGGAGCGCGGCAAGTAATAGGATAACTGGTTGAAGAGTTTCTGGTTAGAGTTGACCTATCTCAAGCCAGTATATAAGAAAATTTTGCCGGGCATGCATTCTGTAGCCGTTGCGCCAGCTGGCTTCCCAGCCGAAATCGACGGCTATGCGAGGAATGCGTTGTGACCCTGACCCCTGTGCCCAGTAAGGGGGAAATATGTCAGTTCACATTGACCCCCCTGATTCCGTCAAACCCAGTCACTTCATGCGCATGCCAAAATTGGAAGAAGGAGCGCCTGAGCCTGAGGCTGGAGACTCGAGAGCTTTCAAGACATTGACAAGAAATTGGGGCGCTGCCTCGAAGCGCAGTCCAGCTTCGGATGAGGTTTCTGTATTGAGAACTCAGAGTCAGGAGCTCAGGAGGACGTTGCCAACAAGAAGGTGGTTACAGCTTATCCTGAACAGTCTTCTGGCAACACGTGACAGCGCAGGCACCTAGGAGGCGGCCAGTGGAACGTACAAAGGATGTTTGTCCCTAGGCCTTAGGTGTATGGTATGCCCACAGCTGTAGTTAAGGTAACTGCTTTTGCAGATTGGAAGTTAGCAACCCTGCTTTTCTTCGGGCCTCGGTTGGTAGCTTTCGTTCCTTTCGGCTGCCCTTTCATGTGTTGCCTCGAATAGTGAGAACCTTGGAAACATCCCCGGGCGGCATGGCCCTCCCCAGTCATAGTGCTGGGACAGGGGCGACCTTGGACAGTGCAGGGAGGGCAGCCGCAGAGAATGATGCGCTCTATGCGGACATGGCAGCAAACCACCATGCGGTGCCTCTGACCCCGGGCACACCAGACAGGAGCACAACCACGGGACTGGAGTCGCCAGTCCATCCGCGGTCGCTGCACTACATGGAACAAGGGGTGAGCTCAGGCCCATGTTTACTCTGGGCCCGCAAGGACTCTGGCTGTCGCTTTTTTCCCAGTAACTACCACAGTCTTTCTGAAAGTCAACTGCTAGTCAACCAAGCAGTGGATCCAGGCATCACCACGCGTGCGAATAGGCCAAACAGTGTCCTTGTTTGGTAATGCTGCCAGCTTCAAAGTCTGCTGCCGCCTTCAGCCATGCATGCCGTGCAGTGTCCTACTCTTGTCACAGGGCTTTGCCAGATATGGTCTTTCTCAACAAGGGGCAAATGTGGCCAAAAGTAGCGCCTGGGAATTTTGCAGTCTCACTGGTCTACATCTGGGCTGCTGACAACCAAGCATTGCCGTAGCATTCAGACGGTTGAAAACGCTTCCTGGCCAGATCTTGGGAAGTCCTAAACAAGAGCATCAGTCATTGGACCTGTCTGGTTGCACCTTCCAGAGAGTAATCGATTGTGTCTAGTTCAGCGACATGCGTGCGACTTAGTCGCACCAGATCTACATCCTACGAGTGTGTATCGCAACTTTGCAGCTTTGCTGGGGCGGTCTTAGGTTGTCACTGCGCCTTTTTGCAACAGTCGGGTCTTGCCTTGAATTTAAGGAGCAGTAAGGCCCTTACATGGCTCGGCTGCGCTAGATCTGCTGTACCTAAGCTGATTGGCCGCTGGTATACTGGCAGGAGAATGGTGCCATGTACCGCGTCTATGTGCCCAGCACCCCCCCGCTGGACCAGGTCTTGGGTAGCACAGTTCCATCGGGTCACACCGGCTCCGAGACACCGACCAGCTCGCACTGGGGGGGAACAGAGTACACGGGGGCAGACTTGCCCCTGAGCGAGAACGCGCGCAGCCTGCACCAGCGCACAGAGAGCTTCCGCAGCGAGCGCAGCCAGTCGCTGTTCTCGGAGACAAGCGTCTCCAGCATGGAGAATGTTATGGTCACAGGCAGCCACTCCAAGCGCCAGCTGGGGCTCGGAGACTCCTCCAGCAAGCGGCCCGAGGTGAGCCAAAGCAAACCCTAGTGACAAAGCTCCCGTTAGACACGGGTGGCTGCCGCCACTGGTGGTCGTTGGCCCCGCCGATACAGTATTGCATGTGGTCCCTGCGGTTGCAGCAAGAGCATAGGTATCTGCTAGAGCGGGCGCCCCGCTAGGAGACACTTTTGCGTGCAAAATCTCAGCCTCAACCAGGGGTTGTCCCGACTCCGGTGGAGCAAGCGGCAACATTCTCTCGGCATACTATAGGTGCAGATACCAAAGTTCAGCAAGCGTGGCCTAGATGGCAAGCAGGTTCCGTGGCCCGGGCTTCTGCTTTTGGTGGACTCAGAACTTCACCTAGATAAGAGTTGCTAACCTAATTTGGCAGCGCCCTCTGTCAGGGACTATTGAGAAGGATGTTCAAGCATAGGTCGTATACTGCCCCAATTGTGAACGTCGTCAATTTGGTAGCAGGCTATTAACTGGACTTACGTGTTCCAAAGCTGGGGGTCCAGACATGTTCCGCCCACTCTGTTCGCAGGGCGCCTCACGCAAGTACACGCGGGACGATCTGAAGCTGGCGTGTGCCATCTGCGATGAGCCGGTGGGGCTGGACCTGGACGGCAACGAGTTTGTTCCGTGCGAGTGTGCATTCCCGGTGTGCCGGCCCTGCTACGAGTACATCCGCAAGAATGAGGGCAACAGGTGTCCCCGCTGCAAGGAGCAGTACAAGCGGAAGACAGGTGGGGCGCCAGCAGCGGCCAACTCAGGCGCATCGGGGCTTGAACAGACCTCGGGCTAATTACAAGCAATTGTCGTTAGGGCGTTGAGCTAGCTCATCAGTAGCCCTGCCAAAGATTTCAAGGGCGGGCGCGCTTATTGGAGGATCCGGAGGAGTGCACAGGCTGTTGGGCAAGTTCTGGCAGCAACCGTGCAGGGTCTGTGGCGCAAGTCTGCAGAATGCTTCGCTTGAATGATCATGTTATTGGGCTATGGGCTAGCAGGACTGACAAGAATGCTGGCGGACTTTCAGGGAGCCCGCCAGTGGAGGGCGATCCGATAGAGGAGGGGGTGCGGCACGAGGAGGAGGAAGACGCATTTGAGCGCGTGCACGCGGCTGTGAAGAAGGAGCCGCTCCGCCTTTCACGCACCTCAGACACGCCCCGGCTCTCCATTGAGGGTCCTCCCCCCAAGCCGTCCCCCATGCACCGCTACTACGACAACCACGACAAGACGCTTGTAGCAGTGCCCAACCTGATGGACGCCGACGGGCTAGGTATGGCCATGGCCCCATGATAATTCCGGCAGATATCCATGTTTGGGGCAGGTTGCCTAAGGGAGAGTCTGCCGCGAAGTTGGTTCTGCACGGTCTGCTGACTGCCACTTGACCCACATTACCTCGATGCGGTGTAACTTAAAGTGGGCGTAGGCCATGCATGGACACCCCAAGGCCATCTACGGCGATCGGGGCCCAGATTGGCCGAAGTTGCAATCTGGTCCGTTAAAAAAAGACTCAGATGCACGGAGTGTGCATTTCCGGACCTTTGAAATCGGACGCCCACTTTAATGGGCTGCTACTCTGGTGGGGGTAGTTGTATGCGGAACGCTTCCTAATCGGCGCGGCGGCTGTTTGCAGGGGAGCTGCTGGACCCCAGCAAGCCGAAGGAGGCATACGGTTACGGTAGCATCCTGTGGGCGGAGAATGCGCACCAGCCATCGGAGGCGGAGAGTGGCGACGGCAGCAGCGGGGGCAGCTCGCCCCCCAAGTCGGAGGGCAGCGCGGCCATTAAGGCGGACAACTCGCGCATGCCGCTCAGCAGGAAGGTGCCCATCACGGCCATGATGCTCAACCCCTACAGGTGAGCGCACTCACACCCTCTGGGTCAAAGCTGTTGGGAAGCATTGATGCAAGCAGACAGCTTGTGAGGGTTGGCAGGTTCCACAGGCAGTTCGCACGCCTGTTTGTGAAGGACAAGCAGTTACAGTAGGCGCACAGCAGTTGGGGGCGAGGATGTCCTACAGATGGTTCATGAACCGTGGATGCGGAATTCGAGTTGACTGTACGAAATCTATCAAGAGGGACCAGAGTTGTAAGTTGTAGACCAAGTTGTAGTCTCTGTTTAGGCCCAAGCCAATGACCGGTGTCAAGTTAATGGTCGAAGCAAAGAGTGTGATTGTGGGTTGCTGTCTATCACTTAGCAGTGGTAGCACCGCTAGCGATGAATCCTAGAGGCAGCAGGCCGAGATGACGCTCTGCTGTAGCGCTCTCTGACCCCTGCGTCCACTGCTGTGCTCTCCCGGCAGGCTGATGGTGGTGGTGCGGCTGGTGGTGCTGGTCCTGTTTCTGTCGTGGCGAATCAGCAACCCCAACTACGCCGCGTACGGCCTCTGGCTCGTGTCGGTCATCTGCGAGACCTGGTTCGGCGTCTCCTGGATCCTGGATCAGGTGACCACCCATTTAGACCCACCCTTTGTTCTCTCTACTTTCCAGATCTTCATGTTTTGTAAAGATTTTCTCCTTCAATGTGCCTTACTGGGATGTATTGGCCCTTCAACGGATTTGCAGACGTCCTTCTTGTCGCGTGCTGCTGCTTTAGCTCAATGCCGGTTTGAGTTGCGACCTTCTATGATTCGGCTTTTTTCAAGGCGCTTTGGTCCAGCCTTAGCACAGATGGTGCACTTGTTTGAGTGTTGGTTGCGGTTGCTCTCCTTCCGAGAGTTTGTACTTCACATGCTCACACGCTCATGGTGTGGTGGCGCAGGTGCCCAAGTGGAGCCCCATCACACGCGAGACGTACTTGGACCGCCTCAACTCGCGGTATGACAAGTCTCCCGAGGATTGCGAGCTGGCTGCAATTGACATCTTCGTCTCTACGGCCGACCCTGAGAAGGAGCCCCCCCTGACCACCTCCAATGTCGTGCTGTCCGTGCTGGCGGCGGACTACCCCTATGACAAGTGAGCCACCACGCCCTGCCTTACACTTTCAGAGGCCCGTATAGTTCTTACTTGCACCTGTTGTGTCCAAGCCGTCTGCGGCGGTTTTCTTCGAGTTCTTTGAGCGGCGGAACCTTTTCCAAGGGCATTCGCATCTGTGCAACTAACCAACGAGGGAGTTGGAGTTGAGCCTTGTAAGCAGCCACGTCAAGGAGCACTGAGCCCCCACCAAAGGGGTACTTGCAGCAAGATAGTGTCAACTAGAAACAAGCTAAAATTGTGGCCTTGATGTCTCACTTCGTTCTGCTTCAACTCATGAGGAGCATCACAATAGAGTACTTTGTAATTCTGGGCATTCCACACAGTCGTTCTTTTTTGACGGAACCTATCCGCATTGGGCTCTTGCGATCAAAGGGCTACCACCTTTATCGGGATTGGCTGCAGTTCTCTACTGTCAGGCCTGTCCTAGTGGACTTACGGTGCACGATGTTTTCTGCAGGGTTGCTTGCTACCTGTCTGACGACGGCGCAGCCTTGCTGACCTTTGAAGCGTTGACCGAGACGGCCAGCTTTGCCCGCTTCTGGGTGCCGTTCTGCAAGAAGTTTGAGATCGAGCCACGAGCCCCCGAAGTCTACTTCCAACAGGTGAGCACACTGGCAGAGGTGTCATAATCGGGAGATGCAGGACCATAAGCTGTTTCGTCGGTGGTTTTCGTAGCCGTGACTGTCTTGGATTATGATGCGATCTGCAGACCCAGTATTTTTCAGGAGCCCACGGACCATGTAGAACTTATGCAACCTGTCGGTACCTTCCCTCGTCAGCTCACTCAGTCTAGGATTGCCCAGACATGCCAAGAGAATTTGTTCTTCGTGGGTCTTCCGTAAACGCATCTTGCTCCCCCTTTGCTGACCATTCCTCTGTTTGTGCGGCAGAGGAAAGAGGAGTACCTGAAGGACAAGACTCACGCCGATTTCGTCCGGGAGCGACGACAAATGAAGGTAAGTCGTTGGCCTGTCGCCAATCAGCCGCGCTTCTACTTTCTTCCCCACGAAGCAAGTGCTCGTGATGGTCGAACTATGTTGGCATACGGAGCATGTTGGTGTTGCACGACATCTGTTTGGTGGTTTGCGGTGCCAGCCTGCCGTGTTAGTCATAGGAAGCTGGTCGGGGGTTTTGACAGTGTGTTGATTGTGATGTGCAGCGCGAGTACGAGGAGTTCAAGGTGCGCATCAACGCGCTGGTGGCCAAGGCGCAGACCAAGCCGCGTGACGGCTGGAAGATGGCTGACGGCACGCCCTGGCCCGGCAACATCCGCAGCGACCACGTCGGCATGATCCAGGTGAGGCGACCGGGCAGTGCAACCAAAGTTTTCGTAACACAGAGCCGCAGCTTTGATAACGGCAAGTTGGGAAGCACCAAGAGATGGAAGCAGAGCTGTGCAGCTAGTCTTGTGGAGACAAGATTTCATTTGCGTCGACCTGTTCAAGCTTGCAGATTTTGTCCTGACATTGGATCAGAAGCAAAAGCGCCCACCCCCGCTTGTTTGCGTCTCGTGCACTTCACCTGCCCTCTTCCCATGATACTGTCTTTAGCCTGTTGTTACCCGAGCTTAGAATGCCTGCATTTGTGGCTCTTGCCTGAGCCTGGGCTGTTGTGCGGTGGGTGCAGGTCTTTCTGCAGCCGGATGGCGACACCATGGACATTGAGGGCAACCCGCTGCCGCGGCTGGTCTACGTGTCAAGAGAGAAGCGGCCAGGGTACGACCACAACAAGAAGGCGGGGGCTATGAATGCGCTCATCCGCGCCAGCGCGCTGATCACCAACGCGCCCTACATTCTCAATCTGGATTGTGATCACTACGTCAACAACTGCCAAGCCTTCCGGGAGGTGAGGAAAAGCAAAGTTCTGGCTCCCAGATCAGGAAAAGAGCAGGTTCTGCCATAACGTTTGGTTGCCAAGGTGAATGCACTTGTTAAGTTTGTGGAGCAATGAAAATGTGCTTTAAATGGTTGCCGCACAAGATACAATTGAGTTTGCAATAAAGGTGACTCCCAGAGGCCCGCCCTCGCGGGATACGAATAGTTGTTGTATCAAAAGGGACGATTGCGATGTCAGCAATGCTCCTTAAAATCGGATTGGGACCTGGTGCGCTTTGTTGAAGGCCTCATTTTGGGTACGTTGTGTGTGCAGGCCATGTGTTTCATGATGGACCCGGTGAAGGGCGCACGCGTGTGTTACGTCCAGTTTCCGCAGCGATTCGACGGCGTCGACCGCAATGATCGATATGCCAACCACAACACCGTGTTTTACGAGGTCAACATGAAGGGCCTGGACGGCATCCAGGGGCCCATGTACGTGGGGACGGGCTGCTGCTTCAGACGCCAGGTGAGCAGGCGCAGTCAAGGGTGTCCATACACGAAGAAAGTTGGCCAGGCCGAACTGAAGGCTCGTATTGATAACGACTCTTTGTTTAGATTCTCTCAGCAATTTGCAAGGAGCTTGAAGGTCTTCTGGATTTTAGGAGTCTATATGAGTTGGTCCTGAGCAGAAAAAGCGTCGGCATTTTCAGGGGCTTTGTAACACGGCGTCCAAGCAGAATTGTTGATTACCATCGTTCAAAAGTGTTGCTTGCGCCCCTTCTTCCTGGTGCGTTGCTGTCCTGACGTCGCTTGCCTCCGCTCCCTGTTGGCAGGCGCTGTACGGCACTTTCGCCCCGTCGAAGAAGGGGGGCGAGAAGGCGGGCAAGGTGGACAAGGGCGGCTGCGGCCTGCTGACGTGGTGCTGCGGCGAGAAGCGCAAGCGCGCAGGGAACAAGGCGGCCAAGGGCCACAAGAAGAAGGACAGCAGCCAGTCGCTGGTGGACGTGGCAGATGCGGAGGAGCTGCAGCTGATGCCCATGAAGTGGCACGCGCGCCGCTTCGGGGTCTGCCACAACTTCGTCATGACCACCACGGAGCTCGACGGCGGCTGCCCGGTGAGCGCACCATGCAACAAAACCGAGCAGAGCACCAGTGCATGAGCGACGCAACTCTTTCTGGAATTTGTAGCAACTTGGTGCCCTGATCCTGTCATTCGCCTTTTGCTACAATGGCTTGAGAAGGCAAACGTGGATATCTAGTCTTCTTGGCGAGGGCGTGCGTCAAGTCCTTCTCAAAGATTACCGTGTCCCTCTCCTAGAAAGCGTATGCACCCTTACAAGCGCCCATTCTTTTTGTGCAGACGATGTCCCCACGGACTGTGCTGAGTGACGTCATCCTAGTGATCTCGTGCGGGTACGAGGACAATACGGAGTGGGGCAAGGAGATTGGCTGGATTTACGGTTCCATCACGGAGGATATCGTGACCGGCATGGTCATGCATACGCGCGGTTGGCGCTCCATCTACTGCAGCCCGCCCCGCCCCGCTTTCAAGGTGCGCCACTCGCCCCCAGCAATGAGCAGGTCTTGTTCGGTGATCTGACGGCTGATGCTGCTTCGGAGGAAGCTCAAAGAAGTGCCTTCCTTTTGGCCCGCTTCGTGGAAATTTTCAGAAGGTCTACTGGAAACGTCGATGGAAGACCGCAATGTTCGGGGGACACTTCGTTAATTCTGTCGCCTTTACTATTGCAGGGTACGGCGCCCATCAACCTGACGGACCGGCTGCACCAGGTGCTGCGGTGGGGGCTGGGCAGTGTGGAGATCTTCTTCTCGCAGCACAACCCGCTGTGGGCGGGCTGGGGCCAGGGCCTCAAGTTTTTGCAGCGCTTTGCGTACGTGAACACGACGGTGTACCCGTTCACGAGCATCGCGCTGACGGCGTACTGCGTGCTGCCCGCGGTGTGCCTGCTGCTGAACCAGTTCATCATCCCCGTGCTGGACAACACGGCCATCATCTACTTCCTCGTCTACTTCATCGCCGTCTTCGGCACCGCCATCCTCGAGATCCGCTGGTCCGGCGTCGCGCTCGACGAGTACTGGAGGAACGAACAAGTGAGCCACGCCGCATCGCACGACCCGCCCAGCAAGTCGTGTCCTTCGCCCACAGATCAGCATCAGCGCCCAGGGTTTTCTGGCATGCAGTGGTTCCTGGCAGTCTCGAGTGTAGCTGCAGGTCTTTAACTCATCTCTCGAGTGTCTAACGTCCACTCCGCTCGTGCAGTTCTGGGTGATTGGAGGCACGAGCGCGCACCTGGTGGCGGTGTGGCAGGGCCTGCTCAAGATCACGGCCGGCTTCGAGTCGCAGTTCACGCTGACGCAGAAGGACAGCAACGACGACGGCGAGTTTGCGGAGCTGTACATTTTCCGGTGGACGCCGCTCATCATCCCGCCCACGACCATCATCATCGTGAACCTGATGGGCATCATCGCGGGCATCAGTCGGCAGGCGCAGAAGAACCGCTCCGATTGGGGCCAGCTCTTTGGCAAGTGCTTCTTCGCCGTCTGGGTGCTCCTCCATCTCTACCCCTTCGCCAAGGGCCTCATGGGCCGCCACAACCGCACGCCCACCATCGTCATCGTCTGGTCCACGCTGCTCGCCATCTCCCTCTCCCTGCTGATGGTCACCGTCCTCGGCTAACTTATGGCGCCTCAAAAGCGCCCAGCGCACTTGGTAGCGAGCATGCAGAGCACATTAGTGGTGGGCCCTCGCTAGGAGGGCTTTTAAGTAGCTGGGATGCGTCTCAGCAGTGCTGCGCTGACACCACTTCGCAATATGGTAGGTAGTTGCTCGATAGTTGATAAATTATAAGTTGCACTTCGAAAGAGCCAGTTGGGCAGTTGTAAACGCCTTCAGGTTCTAAGGACGTTTGTTGAAAGGTCGTCTAAGAGTAGATGACGTATGTCATTCAAGTTGCAACGAGTCACCTAAGAACTGGGTTGCAACATGCGTCTGGGCTCCGAGTCAGGCCCGCTTAGTTGATGGCTTCGGTGTGCATTGCGGCTTTGCTTTAAATCTTTGTGTTTTGCGCTGTGCAGCATGTGATGCATGCCAGCGTACGTTACACATACATCGTCATCTGGCTCGATCAGCTGTAAGAGACATGACGAATCTTGTAATTCGAGTAATGTGTAAGCTGATAAATTTTCAATTAACCATGATTGGCCCTCAAGCTGATTCAATCATCAGCAGATTACTGTACATCTTAGGGAAGGGTCATTTTGAAGCGGTACCCCCCGTAGTAGCTGTGGAGCCCTTTTGGGTCGAGGACCCTTCTGGCCCCCCCTTACTCACGAGCCCTGCTCGCTCAAGCCTGTCCCAAGTTCCCCCCCCATGCCTTCGGAACCTTGGAAGGCTCCAAGTCCCCCCCCCCATTCACGGGCTTGGGGATGTGGATATATTAGATGTATTTAGCGGATTTTGTTTTCTGCTGAGTCCTACAGCAACCTAATGCAGGGGTTTTTTTCACAATTGTGAAAAATCTGCTTTGAAATTGGCTCAAAACCCGTCATAAACAGGCTCCACAAACACATTCCCCCCTCCGACCTCTAGCCATCGAGGTCTGCACAGGCTCCCCCCCCATATAGCTACATGTCCTTCAAGGGGTACCAAGCCCCCCCCCTTCATGACTCGATGTTTCAGTCTTGGTCCCAGGTACCCCCCCCTCAACAGCGACTACGGGGGGTACCGCTTCAAAATGACCCTTCCCTTAGCGGCATGATCTGTCGTGGTTTATCTCATGTCACTACGCGTACTTAGCATGTCGAAGCTATTACTGATATGTTCGTTCCGGCACGCCGCCGGACAACGTCTAATGCATGTTTCAGGTTGACGAGGTCAATTGACTCTCTGACACGAACAATCTCCAACTTAATCCGTCTGTAGGCGCTAGGACTAAGCATTCTGCAGATCAATCCGGCGTGAGCGTGCATGTGATATATTTGGATGGCCTAGCTAGCTCCTGGAATTATTGCACGAAAATCTGTGCATGAGCCACGAGAACGACGCACTCCAACCGTCACATATATATGTGTGCATGGTGGGGTCATGCTCCGATTGCATGTGCGGATATACTACAATGAACATAGATGCTACGACGCATGCTGCTGACAACTTATGTCCTGTGCATTCAATCGGATCACGGTGTATGCCAGGGACTTGACGAAACGCTCGGTCCAAACACCTTTCAAACAGAACGGCCGGGCGGCTGCTGAACGAATCTTTGTGCTACTGATGGCCAACGAGTCTGCAAATGAGTTGATACACCGGCGTACAAGGTGCTTACTACTCTCATCGAGATCCTAGGCTAGATTTATCCGAGATGATGTGAAGACAGTCTGAAGTGATTCTGAGTTCTAGTTACTGTGCTTCGACGATTTTTTTCTATGTGCACAACACCTATGACAAGTTGTCCTGTCATCAGCACCTAATGCTCTCTGTTCATCAAGATGATGAACGTCTACGGTCGACTTGGCAGTCAAAGAATTCTGAATCAATTTGACTAGCTGGTAAAGTCACGTCGTCCTGCGCGCAAAACCTGCCAATACCTTTGCGTAACCCCGAGCTGTAGCTGTACCTAGAGGCCGAATGTGGCCACAAATACCAACGTATTTTTATATCGCTGTACCTTGACGGTCCTAGTACGAATGATCTACTACGAGATCCTGTCCCTACCAATCCTATTGAGCGGCAATGGCCGGTCAGATCCTTCGTCCTGGTTGAGCCTCGAATAGCGCACAGCCGTGATGCTCCCGGCTGGCCGCCCCTCCGCGTGAGTGCGGCCGTGCCTAGAGGGTGATGGTCACGCTCTGGACGCCGTCCACGCCTTGCAGGATGGAGAAATACTTGAACTGCCCGTTGATCTCCACCTGGTAGTCGCCGTGGAAACCTGCGGCCAGAAGCAGGGGGGCCACGGGTGAGTCGCGGGAAAGCAGTCACGAGCCTCCTACACTGTCCGCTTCCTGGGGCTGCACCCGAATCCGCGGGCCTCTGCGCCTCCGCAACGCGCCAATTTTGTAATATAGTACAACGTCGGCACGCCAAACAGGCCGACTCCGACATGGTCTACTGCGAGGCGGACTAACACTCCAATCAACACAAGCAGAGTAAATTTCCATCGAAATTGCAGGATGAAACCGTCAACGCTTTGAGAAACCGGGCTACTATTTGCGAGAAATTGCGCTATCGCGCGGTGCTTACCCCGGAAGGTCTGCGCTGCACCGTCGCTGGAGGTGGTGCCGGCGACGCCGCGCGTGGCCCATTCTTGGCGCAGGGCGAGGAAGACCTGCCCCACCTCGTTGGGCGCGCCGGCCTCGTCGAAGAGGCACGTGGGGCACGTGGCCGGGGTCTGGCCGAAGCTGGGCACGATGTGTTGCAGGCTGATGTGCGCCACCGCCGGGTTGGAGAACAGCTCGCGCAGCGCCACCTCCGCCAGGGCCGCGCGCGCCGTGTCGTTGCGCACGCCCAGCGCCCAGTTGAGCTCCGTCACCCAGATGGGCAGCCCCAGCTGCGCGATCTTCGCGATCGCTGCACAAACAACATATTTGGTAAGCGCTGTTGGCGAGTAGCTTCGAAGCCGATTCGCAATCAGCAAGACCCAACACAAATGTCAATCGCAAGCCCAGTGCAGAATCAGACTAGAGGAACGTGCAAGACCTGTGTTTGCATCGCTACAGAGTCGCATTCGGTGGCATCGCTGAGGGCCGTGCCTGTTTCGAGGGGGCTTGCTCACATTGGCGGAAGCGCGTGGGGTCCGTCTGGTCTGGCTGCACCTGGAACTGCAAGCCCACAATGTCCACGTCGCCCCCCAGCCCCTGCACGCGTCGCACGTGCGCCACCAGGGCCTCGGGGGTGCCCGGGTCGCCGAAGTCGTGCCAGCATGACTCCGCCACCTGCACGCACGTCCGCCGCTGTCAGACACAGGCAGCACGCAGGCCAAGAGCGCGCTTCGCGGGAGAGGACGGGCCGCTTATTACGGTGCGACCACCGTACCGAACTGGCAGGCTGGATGGCGGAGCACCTGGCTCCAAAACCGCGCGTCGTATAGAGAAGAGAGGCCCGACGAACAGCAACGGAGCCCGCGTTGACGGGGTTCAGTCGGTACGCTTAGATGAGCTCGCGCAGGCCGCTTGAGTACCAACATACGAAAATAGAAGGTCGTCCAGAGTGCTCACTAAAGAACCGATCGCTCACGTTATATTCGTTGAAGATGAGCGGCGTCGTCGGGTCGTTGGCCCGGACCTCCTTATACAGCCGAGCTGCACAGGCCGGGGGGGACTGGATGTCAGGGAGAGCGCCGCGCATGCTTCTGAGGAAAGACCGTTCGGACAGAAGGCAAAGCAGGCTGCAGGCTTTTTGACAACAAGTACCGGGTCCTTTCTTTGACCATGTGACGAACTTCGAAAAGCGTCTGGAGGAACCTCTGGGAGTATATCGCAAGACAAAGCGGTTCACACGATCACAGAGTGTACAATTGCTCGCGGGAAGCCCGTGCCATTCGCCGCAGTGAGAAGAGGAACAGACAGCGCCAACGGATAATGGCTGCAGAGGGTGCGTACCGATGCTGTCATCCCCTCCCATGTCGTTGACGAATGTTTTGTGAAGGCCTTCGTTGTCGACGGTGTAAGAATTGACTTTCCCGCTGAAGTGGCCCATGATCGCATCGATGAAGCGCGAGATGAGCTGGTCCAGCACCGCCTTGTCCGCCGGCTGGAACAGGCGAACAACACGTCACCATTGCGCGCCAACGAGGGAAACCGACAGAGAACGATTCCAACCGCTCCCGAGCCTTGCTGCTCTTTATGGATATTAAACCTTACCTGCGTTGAAACTGTCACGAGGGCAGCGCACTACGCGCGGACTCATCAAATCCGCGGGAAAGACAGAGGACTGTGACGTACAGCGCGCCGCACGTTTGTACAACGCCCCAGCAGTTGTCGCCAAGAATTGCTTGCAACGTGACTCTGCAAACCGTCAGGATGCAACAGTCTCACTTTGTTTGCAATAGCAAGCTGGTGGGTGGGAGGTGCCGCGCGCGCTCACCGTTTTCACTTTGTCCTGCACCCACTGCGGGATGCCGTCGCGGAGGTCCTCCCAGATGAGGGCCGGCCCGTTGACGGCCATGCCGTGCGCGGCAGCCCATGCCAGCATCACGTCCACGTCAGCAAAGTCGAACTGGCCCTCCACCCGCTCGATGGAAGTCCAGCCGCTGCACACGAACAAGACGGCTCAGATCCAATGCTTTCAACGTCGCTTCAGAGACTAGGCTCCCGAGAAACGTCTATCAGCTCCTCTCCTAGTCTCCAGACTTCTGCAGAGATGGTACAGAGCAGTCAATCCCATCTCGAAACTGCTCAAGCCAGGCTCGGTTCGTCTAGGCCGGTAATCAGGAATCAAGTGCCGTTGCAAAAATCGCCGGCTAGTGTAGATTACATTCGAATCTGACTTGAGCGACACCCAGTGCAAGAGCACAGTTGTATAAGCGTGACGGAGCCTGGGGGTGAGAAGGTGGGTGGCGGCACTGACCACCAGAGCTGCACTTGGTTGAAGAGCGACTGCAGGAAGGCAGAGTAGGCGGGCTGCTGCGCCACGGTGGGGTTGATGTCCACGCCCCACGGGAAGCCCGACCGCACCTGCTCCACCGTGTACGCAGCGCCTGCCACCGGGGCGCCCGCAGACGTCTGGAAGTGAACCACCACGTCGCTCTTGCGGTGCTGCACGCAGCAAGCAGGTGGTTTACGAGGCAGCTGACGTCCAAGAGAAAAGTATCCTGGCAAACAGGGAACGAAGCGCAGCCCGAGCTCGAAGTACCTTCTTGAAATGCCCATGCAGGCTCCAGCGCGCCTGACAGCTAAAATTCAACTGAACGAGATCTGAAGGGTCACTTGTGGTGAAGAACCTACACTAAGCACAGGTTCTGACTGTTCCAAACAAAGAGCATCCAGTTGGAGCGCACGGCACCATCGTTGCTGCGCCGGTCAGCTGACCTGGTCGATGAGCTGCGCCTGTCGCGCGCGCTCCTGCGCGGGGTCCAGCGCGGCCACCACAAAGCTGTGCACCTGCATGCCCACGCCCGCGGGCACGCCCGACAGCAGCATCTTGGCGGAGGCCGTGGCGGGGGTGAAGCCGCCCTGCACCTGCGTCCAGCACCCCGCCTGCACCACCGTGACCGCCCCCGCACACCGGTTGCCGTTAACGTGCGGGATGAAGCACACCGACAGCGTGTGCGAGGTCGTCGTGTTCACCAGCCGCACCTGGATAACACATAAGAGCGCTCCCGTCAGCAGATGAGCAGGCGCACCTGACAAGCTCAATGTCGTTCACAGCAGACTCCTTCCTGGCATACATGGCTTGGGCTCAAGTTCCAGAGACAGCAAGGTACTCTGAGACGGTCTTACACTCCTACTGGGATTCTGCAACAAGGACCAGCGCCGCAGGCAGGAGCGCTCACCCAGGCCAGGATCTGGTGGGTCCAGCCGGGCTGCAGGTTGTTGACGGTGACTGCCACCCCGCTGGAGGTGTTGAGCAGGGCATGCCGCGGGGTCTCCACCCAGCGCTTGTTGCGCGGAACGTGCAGGCGGGACGAGTTGCGGCGGCACATGTAGCACTCCCAGGCAGCGGGGGCGCGCCCGCCGGAGAAGTCGTTGGGGACCAGGCTGGGGGCCAGGGGCGTGTCCGCTAACGATTCTGAGCACTGTAGAGGGAAGCCGCAGAAAGTGAGGCAACGGGGAGAGACCGAGAGCACCCTTTCACAAGCAAACTAGCTAGTGTGCACTTGACTCAAGTAGCACAGCTTGCAGAAATTCAGCTTGCAGTCGAATTAAGGTGCCGCTGCCGTAGGACTCCATTGTTTGTATCAATGTCCTGGCTCTACTGGCTCTACCCTGCCAGTGCTTCCGTTAGGCTCACCAGAGGTGCAGGGGCTGACAGCGCGTCCGTCGCCAGCTGACCCAGCTTCCGGTGCGCATTACTGGTAGCTGCAGGGGTTAAATATTACAGGCTGAGTGTGAACTTTTTACTCCCTTCGGTTCTGCATTCAACAGTGGGAGTGCATCAAGGGACAAGCGACATAGCACTTCCAGTCCTCAACTGGCTTTTCTCACAACCCCCCATAAGTGGCAACTCCTACCAGGAGTCACTCAGTCTTGCAGCTGCCAGAAACAAACTTGTCCGTCAAGAAAGGACACTGTTGTGACAGTTCATTTGACGTGATATCTCTTCCACTTGACTGCACTGCAACCGCTCTCTCCAACTCTGCTTCTTTCAAGTCCTATGAATGCTAAACCTGAAGCCCCACCTTGGGAGCCCACCGCAGCCAGTGCCAGCAGCAGCAGCAGTAGCAATGTGCCCTGCTTGCACGCCAGAATGCCCCCCATGGTGGCCTGACTTGGCAGCGCTCTGCTCAGCAGGCAAACGCCACACCAGCTTGCCGGGATTGTACTTGGATGCAAAATACTGTCTTACCCGCCTTGCAGCGCGGTTTCTGAAAGCGCAGGAATTGGAACGTATTGTCCGACAGGATGTTGGCTGATGTGAGACTGTTCCAACAGTTGTGTAGGTCTGCAGCTTACACTTCAAGAACTCTCTCAAGGAGCTTAAGCAACACTGTTTGAAGGATGCTAGTCCCTGATTCATGCTCTGCAAAGTCCATAACAATGACATGTAGTCGTCCATGTTTGCTGCAGTTGTTGTAAGGAGGCTGCCCCTCAGTAGCAGCTCAGAATACTGAGTCACAAAGCTAGACGCTCCTGAGGTCATGTCAACAAGCCATTGAAAGAAGTCCCCGACAACAGCAGTCCCGGCTACAGCGGCCGCCCTTTCACTGCTTCAGTTCCAGTCGAAGAGGCGGCGTCCTGCTTCAAACCTCACTATAGGTCTGTGTTCAGCAACTTTGGACAGAGCCTGAGCCTGAGGGGCGGGATCGGAGCAAACGTACGCAGGTGCATGGCGGTTGACCTGAATCTCCGCTGCTAGGTACTTGGTGCATACGTGGACCGCAACCGATGGCGGTATGTACCTGTTTCAGGGGGATCATCCTGCGAAGGCGAAGTCGGCACAGCTCGTACTGCCACGTGTTTAGTCCTGCTCGGGAGACCTCGGATCAGTCCGTGCGCGCATCGTAGTACCTCTTCATGCTGTTTGGCAGCGGGCCCGGTACCATACCGGCTCGAAGATATTGCGGGCGCTGAACCCGATCGACGGGCAGTCATGCTCAAGGCTTTCGACATCGTTATCAAACCGAATACGGTTTGCAGCTCAGAGGGGCGGCCATGGCCGACACTCTCTCGAGCTCGAGATTCCCTCATTGTTTGCTTATATCAGGTCAGGATCTTCAAGTTGAGGCTTGTGCCTTTAGCCTGGGCTGCAACAACTAGTACTTCCTCTGGCCTCCAGCTTTTAATGAAGCTTGAGAAGATCAGCATCTCCAAGCACTGGGAACAATCAGGCAATCACCATCAAAAGACTGATGGAAGGAACGCGCGTGAAGTGATCAGAGACTAGCGCCTAGTCTTGTCGACTGATATCCAGCTGCATAGAGCAGCAGCGTTGCCGCAAATGCATGCCGCCTCCAATCAGGGCTCTTCATGACTTAGACTTGAAAAGTCAAAATATGTGTTTGTCTTTTGAAGCCCTGTGCTTTGGCACTGCCGAGTTCGTGAACAAAACGAACTTTCGGTGGCAAACTCCAAGCTGCTCGCTGGAACTTGGAAGCCGTCCTGCAATCTTTTGCTGTCTTGAGGATGTAATTTGAATGTTGAGGCACGGTAACTCTACGTTTGTACATTGATTTTGCTCAACGAACGGACCACTCACTGTGGCACACTTCCATAGATGGCAGCGATTTCCGTGCTTGCTCGAAACCTCACGCAGTTGCAATCCTTATAGCGGACCTCATTCGCAAACGTTCACGTTGAAGGTTTGCCCTGCTCCCCGGGTACTTGAAAAACCATTTCGACTGTGAGTGCCTGACTCCATCCCGGCCCAAGCAATCGAACCTCCCTACCAATGCAAGTTCGCAAGTTGACGACACTTGTCCAGATTTGCAGAATTGATGCAAAATTTGAGATCGCCCGAGCATTGACATGACATCCAAAGTGCGTACCATGATATCAAAGTAGTGAGTCTCTTAGTCGGCGAACTGTCAGTGCATACGTCGTTCAGAATTGTTGCTTGTTCTCGGTGGTCAACTCCATATGTCGTGTCTGTATTCCAGGCCTCGTATACTGGGGCCAAAAGATATTTGAGAAGTAGCCTTGCCCAAGTTTCTGAGGGCGCTTGCCAACAGGCAGTGCTGTCCATATGCCTCTTCTCTGTATTTATGTGTCGGGTTATGTCTTTTTGTATTGAAGCCTCTCGTGGAGTTTGAAGGAAGAGAGACTTTGAGAAGCATATGCGGTGAGTTAACCTGCTGTAGTTAGAGTCTCTATGCTCATGAAAGTGAGCATCAGCTCTTCAACCACGGTCCGCTGTTTTGGACATGGGAGACATGGATACTTTGTCCAAGGCGCCTGTCTTAACCGACCCTTCTGACGACTGTATCGAGTGAGCCCCGTGGCTTGAAGCAAACCCCAACACGGTATGGTACCGGAAGTGACGCTAATGGCGTTGCTTTACCCTACGCGATTTTGACCCACAGCAGCGAGAGCACGATGGACAGCAGGCCGGCCCACACCAGGATGATCGTCGGCGTCTTGTTGCTCCGCCCCATCAGGCCCTGCACACACACGCACGCCACTCAATGAAACTAGAAGCTTTTCAAGACGAACCAGGGTCTTTGTTACTTTGCAACAACACCGCAATCGAGCAGGTTATCACAAGACTAGTGCTCGACGCTTGTTCCTCTAAGTAAGACTTTCAGCTTCTCCGGAAACGGCTGGACAACAAGCTCTAAGCTGTTACAGCAAGGTCTCAGGTTCTCAGGAGTTGTTACACTCGATCGTTGCATCTCAAACTTTTTCTAAAGTGCTGCATGGATGGTAAGGCTTGTGGACGCTCGCGACGGTGCCCAGTGCGCGGCCGGCGTGAGGCTGACCTTGGCAAAGGGGTAGAGATGCAGGAGCACCCAGATGGAGAAGAACAGGCTGCCCAGCAGCTGCCCTGCACCACAACCCAGCCACGCGGGGTCAGCGGCACGACAAGCAACGGACATAGCAGCCACACCGTTCTTGTGTGCAAAATACATGCAGCTCCACGGTGATATTCAGTAATCGTTCTTGGGATGACTAGAGCGGCAGCAAAGATTCCTCGCTGGACGGAGTGGCTCACCCCAGCGCGGCCCGCTGGCCTGCACGGTCCGGGCGAGGCCGGCAATGCAGGCAAACAGGTTGAACAGGATCAGCGTCAGGGGCGGGATCATGAGCCACGTCCACTGCAGGCGCCATACGGAGACACGAGCGTGCAGTCAGTACAGGGCAATATGTGCTGCAGCACTGAACCGCAGCCACTATTGTGCAGATATTCCGAGTTCTTCGTGCAGGTGACTTTACAGTTCTGAGGAGAGCTAGTTCGAAGTTTCAACGGTAGAACGTGAAGCTGAGAAGCAATTTACAAGCTCTCAAAACATTCCAAAGAATCTTCAAGGCGCGCACCCTGAAGTGGTACAGCTCCGCGAAGTCGCCGCCTTCCCCGCCGTCCTTGGAGGTGAGCGTGAAGGCGGTGTCCACGCCGGCCAGCACCTTGAGCAGGCCCTGCAGCACCGCCGCCAAGTGCGCGCTCGTCCCGCCGATCACCCAAAACTGCTCGTTGCGCCACCACTCCTCCAGGCTGATGTCTGCAACCACGCCACGCCCGCCGTCAGCGCCCAAACGAAAATTGACAACTCGTTCAAAGGTACAAGAAAGCGCAGAGAGCATAAGCAAGCGAGATGTTCGCCAATGTATCTAGTGTCTCGTCAACAAACAGGGAGTGGCTTGGAGCTGAGCGGATGCTCACGCGCCCAGCGGATCTCGAGGATGGCCGTCGCGAACACGCTGAGGAAGAGCAGCAAAAAGTACACGATCGCCGAGTCCGACAGCTGCGGGAACACGACGGACAGCGTCAACCACGGAAGCAGTACTTAGCATGCATTTAGCAGTCTCACAAGCACAAAGAGCAGGCAATTAGCAAGCAGCCAAAGGAGGCAGGCGAAGCCCGTGAGTGTGCGACAGGCGGAAGGCGCGGTGGGCGCCTCACGTTGGCGACGATGAAGGTGTTGGTGAAGAGGCCGATGGCGGGCAGCAGGCAGTACGTCAGCAGCGGGATGCTCGTGAACGGATACACCGTCGTGTTCACGTACCTGCACGCGCAGCGTCTTAGTCAACACAGCACGACAAGACTTAAAACCACCAGAGACGATACCAACAGGGCTGCTGAGACAGGCGCGCTGATGAGGAGACTCGCAAGCGACGAAAGGCGGGTGTGGGCGAGGGCGCGGGGCTGCTCACGAGAGGCGCTGCACGAGCTTGAGGCTGCTGGTGGGGCTGTACCACAGCGGATTGTAGCGCGAGAAGAAGATCTCCACGCTGCCCAGCGCCCACCTGTGCACCGTTAACAAGAAAGAGCTGAGGGATAGCGTACTCCACACGGGCCTGCCAGCGTGAAGAGATGAAGGAATTGACTTTCTTTTGTACTAAGCAGCTGTACACTGTGTGACCTTAGTACGTATTTGCAGCGAACCATGAAGAGAACGGGGCCACGGCGGATCGTTGCCTGGTGGCTATGCGCGGCGGCTGCTACGGTGCGCGCGCGCTGACCTGAGGACTTGGTGCAGGCGGTCGGTGAGGTTGATGGGCGCGGAGCCCTTGAACGCGGGCCGCGCGGTGATGCAGTACACGCTGCGCCAGCCGCGCGCGTGCATCATGAAGCCCGTCAAAATGTCCTCCGTCACCGAGCCGTAAATCCACCCGATCTGGACCAACGAGCACGGGCAACGAACTTGGCTTTGGTTTTCAAATGCAAACCTACAAGCTTTCTCTCGATCCAGTCACTTACTCAAACGTCGTACAGCCGCACATGCTAACGATCTAGAACTGCACGCAAGTATGAAAAGCCTCGGATAAGTTAGTTTTTTCAATAAAGTCTATGCAATGATCGCGAGACCTGACAACTTTAATACCATGGGTCACAGAGCTCAAAGTCGACCCTTCGCCAAGGCAATCTGCCGAGCTGGAATTTTCGGATCTGTGCGGCTCACCTTCTTGCCCCAGTCGCTCTTGTCCTCGTAGCCGCACGAGATGACCAGGATGACGTCCGTCAGCACCGTGCGCGGGGAGCTCGGCTGCACCCCCCACCGCGGACACAGGAGTCAGCACTGGGAGCGACGTCTGAGGCGACGTAAGGAAGCAAAGGAAGAACCGGTAAAGACGTTTGCACTCGGTAAACCCCGTGAGAGACTGAAACGGGAGCTACGACGTATCGGCGGCTCACCACGGGGTTGCCGTCAACAATGAGCGTGGACGCCACGAAGTTGTGGCACATGCCGAAGCGCGCGGCGTGCCACTTGAGCGGCACCAGCGGAACCTCTGCACAGAAAAGATGGCGACGCGTGGTCACGGCCGACGCGCCAGCAAAGAAATTTCTAACGTCACAGGGGCGGCATTTTGCGTCATGACATTACAGCAGAAGCTGCACAGAGAAGCCATGCTTTGCCTTGAAGCCGGACTCTACTCGAGAGGGTCTCGGGCAGAAGTGGCTATTACAGTCTAGTATTCTGCGTTTGCTGACGCCTCGTTGTATGAAAGCGGCGGCCTCGTGCGTCACGTTGTGCGCGGGGCTCACCGTCGTGCGGCGCGCCGGGCCCTCCCGCGGAGACCTTGTTGTTCTTCTTGGTCCGCGAGCCGAAGCACCATCCCGCGCAGCAGGAGCGCGGGCGGGCCTTGTCCTTGGGCGGCGGGTCCGCGCCGTAGAGCGCCGCGCGACGGAAGACGCAGCCCGTGCCCACGTACATCGGGCCCTGCTGCCCGTCCTGACCGCGCATGTTCACCTACCACAACACCGGGAACGGCCAGGGTCAGCCACACGCAGAGACGAAAAATCACGACGAAAGCAAGCAGTAAAGATCTCTAATGTGCTTTTCATTCATGGGAATTAGAATGCTTGAGGGGTGGTGCAATTTGTTCCGTTCTCTATACGCAATACGGTTGGATGGCATCCGGTTGGATTCACGCTGCAGACTCCCTGGAGGCGAAGCTCAAAATCAATAGTGGTGATTCTTTTGCGTCGAGAGGAAGCCGCTCACGTCGAAGAAGACGGTGTTGTGGTTGGCGTAGCGGTCGTTGCGGTCGACGCCGTCGAAGCGCTGCGGGAACTGGACGTAGCACACGCGCGGGCCGTGCACCGGGTCCAGCAAGAAACACATGGCCTGCAAACAGGGGTAGCAAAGGGAGAGTGGTCAGACGAACACCAGCCAAAAGTGCATCTGCTTGGCAACGAATCAAGTAACCGAATTTTTCGTATCAAATGGCAACAGCGACTGACACAGCTGGCTTGGAGAACGGGGCTGGGTAGCAGTCGGGATGAGCGGCGCGGCTGACCTCCCGGAGGGCGAGCGAGTTGTTGACGTAGTGATCACAGTCCAGGTTGAGTACGAAGGGCGCGTTCGAGATGAGGGCGCTCGCGCGCATCTGCGCATGACCACGAACGCGGAGTAGATGAGACGGCCGCTAAGGGGTGGTACAGCAATTTGGGCCAAGGGACGAAGCCTCCCGGAAAGTTGGATAAGCACGCCACTCAACTTTGACAAGCAGCAACTTGGACAGTCTCAAACGGGTGGTACAGAGGAGGATTGCGACGCGTGTCCCTCACGAGCGCGTTCATGGCCCCGGCCTTCTTGTTGTGGTCGTGCCCCGGCCGCTTCTCTCTGCTGATGTACACCAGCCGCGGCAGCGGGCCGCCGTTCACGTCCTGCGTGTCGCCGTCAGGCTGCAGGAACACCTGCGCAAGCGGACACCGCGAGGCTCAGGCACGGGGCGGAACCTCGGCCGCGCGAGCAAGGCGCAGCGGCTTTGAGCGCCGTACAATCACGGTACAATCACGGTACAATCAAGACTGGCATTATGCACTTTTTTTCACAAGTTGAACCGTGAAAGAGCTCTGGACGGATCAAAGCCCTCGCCTGTTCTCCTAGACCAGACCAAAGTAGGTAGGTGTCATCAAAAGTTAGCACGGTGGGCGTCCTCATGCTGTGCGCGTGCGCGCGCTGACCTGGATCATGCCGACGTGGTCCGCGCGGTCGTTCCCGGGCCAGGGCGTGCCGTCGGGCATGGCCCAGCCGTCCGCGGGGCGCACCGCCGCCTTGGCCACCAGCGCGTTCACGCGGATCTTGAACTCGTCGTACTCGCGCTGCGCGGCCGCACCAGGCCACGGAACAGTGTCAGATGAGCACGTCTGGAGTGAAATTGTGAGGATGCAAGGAGGTAGGCGTGTGTGCACCAGGGGCAAACGTTTGAGGAAGCCGGCTCAGAGAGTCGCCTCAAAGGAGATCCGCTCATTCGTTGCTGTGTCAAAAAGACACATTCGAAGATACGTTCTGGGGCCAACAGCTCCGACTCGAAACGGGATTCGAGAGGATTTGCATTGCGGGGTGTGCTGACCTTGACTTTGCGGCGCGCCTTGACGAACTCGGGGTGCACCTGGTCGCGCAGGTAGTCCACCTTCTGGATGAAGTACATCTCGGGCGCGCGCGGCTCGACGCCGAAGGTCTTGCAGAAGGGCACCCAGACGCGCGCGAAGGCGGCGGTCTCGGTGAGCGCCTCGAAGGTGAGCATGGCGGCGCCGTCGTCGGAGAGGTAGCACGACACCTTGTCCAGCGGGTACTCCATCGCCAGCACGCTCAGCACCACGTTCGCCGTCACCAGCGGCGGCTCCTTCTCGCAGTCCGCCGTGCTCACGAAAATGTCCACCGCCGCCAGCGCGCTCGCGCCGCCCGCCGGCTCGAACCTGCGCGCGCGCGAGTTTCGCCATCAAGCGGGCGGGCACAGAAATCGTCCAAGATTCACGCCGTAGATGAACGTGGTGCTGCTGTAACAAGAAAATCTGAATTCAATGAGAACCAAAGTATTAGCAGCATCTGCGATTATTTCTTTCACTCGAAGTAGAGAATTTTCGATGGATTCTGCTTTGTAAGAGCGGAACTGAGTTGGCCACGGCGCTGACTTGAGCGCGAGCCGCTGCAGGTAGGTCTCGCGGTCGATGGGCGACCACTTGGGGATCTGGTCCAGCAGCCACGAGACGCCGAACCAGATCTCGCAGATGACGCTGGCCAGCCACAGCGGGTACGCGTCAGGATTGGGGTTCAGGCAGCGCCACCGCAGGAACACCCCCATCACGCCCAGCCGGAGCAGCACCACGAACCTGCGCGGCCAGGGAACGCGGCCGATCAGGGTCTAAAGGAGGGCAAACGAAGCAGCGAGGGGAGCTGATGTCGGAATCTCATATTTTGGAGCCATGTGCATGTGACGGACACCAAGTTCAAACGCTTCATAACTGTAACACAGGCTCTGCCGGAATGCAACGCTACCTTTTGAAAGATTCAGATATCCCGTCTGCATAAGTGGTCTTTGATAATTCCAGGAGAATGTATTTTTTAGGTTCTATCCTATTCATGAACCGGACCAAATCCAAACCAGCTTCAACAAGACGTGCTTTCGAAGTTTCGCCCTTCTTGAAGATGATCTTTAACCAAATTAAGCGCACTGATTTTGCAGCTTTGTTCTTGCACTCGTTTCTCTAGGAATTTTTGCTTTCTCATTTCAATCGAGGCCCCGAGATTCAAGCTGCCTTGCATTAAAGTGAGCCAGAAGCACCAAAATGAGCATCGGGATTAGAAGTCCGTCTGGTTGGCGCGCTAACCGGTACGGGTTGATGAGGCCGGGAGCCACGGGCACCTTGCGGGACAGAGGCCGCTTCGTGTCGTCCACACTGCAAAAGCACGGGCATCCACATTATTCCAGTTGAGAAAAGAACTGCCGGCAGAAATTGTGTATTGATTCAAACCTCCAGTCGCGATTGCAATCGCCTCTAAAGAAAGATTGGTTTCAAACAAGGAGGCAACAGCAGGTGCTACTTCCACGTCCTCTCATCGCCAATCTGAAGGACGACAGGCGCAGCCCCCCGGGCAGCTCACCTGGGCAGGCCGCCCGTGTGCCCGTCCCCGCCACCGCCGCCGCTGCCGCCGGGCTGCCACGAGACGCTGCCGTAGCCGTACGCGTCCATGGGCTTGCTGTCTAGCACCGACACTGCACGGCCACACGCAGCGGCACATGAGCGGAGAAAAACACAGCAGGAAGGGCGGGCACCAGCCAGTAGCCACAGCGGAGCAGGACCGGTCTACAGCGCAGTCTGCCGAGTTGCCGATTCGTTCGAACTCCGGAAAAGGATGGCGGTCAGTTGCAGTGGCAAACTGATTCAAGACCGGAAAGAAGCCTTTCTATGGCACTGCGGCGGGCGGGGCTCACGCTGCTGCATGTCGGAGTCGGAGCGCATGAGGCTGCCCGCCGAGTCCTGGCGCGTCAGCCGCGCCACGTACGAGTCCTCGCGCGCCAGCTTGCGCATCTCCAGGCTTGCGTCCGACGGGGTCAGCACGATGACCGGCTCGCGCGCGGGGGCCTGCGAAAAGGAACACAACGCTCAGCCAAAAGAGGAAGGGAGGGCGAGGATTTCAATAAGAAGAGGAGCCTCCTTCTTTCAGGGAGCTAAGGCTTTCAGGGTTTTTAAGCTGACATACAAAGCCGCTGGAAAGAGCTATATTGAAAATAGAATAGAGCTTACACGTAACTGGTCGATTGCAGGAGATCCCTCGAGAGGCGGGCTAAAAGTGTGTCGGAAAAGTGATCTGGGGCGCGGGAGTGAGCGAGGGTCCGCTAGCTGACCTGGGCGCGGCGCGTGTTGACGGCGGGCAGGTGGTGCCGGAACTCCGCCTCCAAGTCCTCCACGTGGTCCTCCTCCTCGTCCTCAGGCACGCGCGGGCTGCCTGCACGCGCGCACGCGGCCGCGGCCGCTTCTCAGCCACGCAGTACCGGGCACACGAGGGTAAGGCTGGGCCGGACAGAAGCGCATTTGTGTTCTCCTTTCTATTTTGAGCAAGGACTGAAACACTGCTTAGAGGTTCAGTTTTGCTGGTCGTTGCAAACGTTTATGGATTGATCAAGGCCTAGGACGCAAGCGAGAGCGTGGATCGGCTGTCGTGGCGCGCTGCGGGCGCTGACCGCGCATTCTCTTGAAGCGCTCCTTGCAGGCGGGGCAGCGGCCGTCCTCCGCGGCGCGGATGTACTCGTAGCAGGGGCGGCAGAGCGGGAAGGCGCACTCGCACGGCACGAACTCGCGCCCCGCCACGTCCAGGCCCACCGCCTCGCGGCACACCGAACACGCCGCGAACCCCGGCCGCGCGCTCACCTGCACAGCATGAAGGAAAGAGAGTTGAGGAGACAAGCTAGATCGCGGATGCCTCCGGTTTACAGCAAAAGGCTGTTGTTAGTAGTGTGTTTCACACCTGCGTTCCAAAGATCGGTTTGCCGCAGCACCTAGTGGCGAGCGATCCGAGTGTCCATCTAAAAACTGCGTACTGGTGCTTCAACACTATGTGGGCAAAACTGACCAGCCAAGAACTGAGCTGGACTTTGGCCCTTGGCGCGGGGCGCGGCTGACCTGCACGGGCGTGTAGGTCTGCGGGTTCTCCACGACGACGAGCCGCTTCTTGAAGTAGCTGCCGGTCACCATCGCGCCCTCCAGGCTCTGCTCCGACGCCGCGCTGCTCGCGCTGTCCTGCCGCAGGTGCCCGCGCGGCCGCGCCGCGCCGCGCCGAACCTCCTCGTCCCACACGCCCTCCTCCGCCTGGACCCAAGCAGAGAGGATCGAGCATCAAAGGCAAAAGCCGAAAACAGAGACATCACAAACAAGGCTGGTTAAAGCAAGAAATCAAGATACGAACATCCTTTACGCTGCACCTGCAAGCGAGGGCAACGGCACTATCTGACAGCTTCCGTATGTCTGATCTACTCATAGACCGCAGTCGTAAACATGATCAGTAGTATCAAAGGTTGTCGATTCCCTTATCGTCCGGATCTTTGCATCGTGACCACCCCCGCACCTTGAGCGCCTGTTCGCTGGAGTCGTAAAAGTCTTCCCCGCGCGGTGTCCCCTGCGGCTCGCTCTTGTCGCCCACGGAAAGGCGGCCCCGCTGATCGCCCTTGGCGGCGTCCACGCTGGTGGCCATGTGCACCGGCTGGCCACGCAAAGCACACGACAAGACCTCAGCAGCTGGGCTCAAGCGTGACAAGACAACAAAGGCTACGCATTTGCCCCTTTGCAGAGTTACCAGCAGTGGGGTCTTTATCTTGTGACAACGTGGTTTTCTGCCTTCAGAGCAAAGCTGATGGAGTTGAAGAACCAGTTGAGAGGCAGGCAGGAAAATAGAATGTAGCTACGAACTTACACAAGGTAGGGACTCTTGGGCCATCAAATATTTAAGATCCAAAACCTCCATTCTTGCAAATTGACAGCAGAGGCATACTCAGACGCATCGATATTCAGAAAAGAGACCATGTGGACGCTGTCTGTGTCACCAAAAAGACAGGCAATCCCTGTCGGCTTTCAGATCTGCTCAATCCGAGTGATTCGTGGGACGGACATCAGTAAAGATGAACAGATGTGAAGAGAAGGATCTCCCGGTAGACAGAAGCTGCAAGCCAGAGTTCGCCTAGCTTGCGCTTTCTTCCCCCCTCTCCTCCCCCGCGCTGCCCCATCTCTTGCTGCTTGGCTCACCGTGGCGCCCTCGTGGGCGGGTGCCTGGAGGCCCGGCCGCTCCGGGCGCGGGGTGCCGTCGCCGGCAGTCTCCCACAGCCACGCCGCAGAGTCAGGGTCCGCCATGGACGACCAGCACGCACGCACGCAGACAGCACACGAAGCAGGCAGAGCGGCAAAAGACGATGCAGCCGGCGACAAAAGAACTTCTGAGAAAGACTGGCTTCACGACAATAAATATACGCGAATCACATCACCTTTACAAGGACTGAATAACCATTTGGACCAGTTTCTATGAAGAGACGTCTCAAGCGGAGAGATCACTTGCTCGTGTAGCTGAGCAGGAATCGCAAACAAGATCAGGTACTTTCCTATTCGGTATCCTCTTGCTTCGCGTCGCTTCCTCGCACATGCCTTCATGCCTGCCGTGCCTTTGTGGGCCGCCCGGCCAGGCTGGTGGCCCCACTGTTGGGCCCACCCTTGTGCCCACCCTTGGCTTGTACCCGCTGCGCTCTGCTTGGGAACGCTGGAGAGGAGGTCTTCGAGAATCTCGAGCAGCCAGTTATGGAAAGCACCGTCCGAACGAACTGCAGCTTCGTCATTCCCATTCCTCGAATGTGCCACTTAAACGGATCCAGCTCGCGTTTTGGGGCGCATCAGGGCGTGCTCCAGTTGGGCCGCATGCAGCGTGTGAGTCCTTGTCGTCGCTCCCGAGGTGCCGCCGCTCGACCCCGGGGCCTGCCGGGGGTGGCGCCTGCTCTGGGCAGGACGTCCAACCTTGGGGGCAGCCAGCAGAGCGGCCGACCAGGGCCGGCAACCAAAACCGCCTGCATCGAACCTCAGAGAAGTTGAGTCTCTACAACGCCTATACCCTTCCTTAGGTACTAATAGAGGGCGGCTGACTGTATAGGCAAATGCAGCCTTGTGAATGATCGACCGGGGGCCATGCATGGAGAGCGGGACCCCTCGGAGGACTCGAACGAGCGTCCGTTGGCAGTTGGCACTGGTCCGTGGCAGCGCGAGCGCGCGAGCAACTAGGCTGGAGCAACGATTGCGGAGTGTCGGGGGCGCGCCTGGCCAAGCCCGACACGGAAAATAACGCCCCAAATAATGGTGGCAGAGACACATGCGGATACCTGGCCCTTCTAAGCGGTGAAAGGAAGATGTCCAAACAGACTGTGAAGTGTGCTCCGCTGAAGCTCGACTAGATCAGAGAACTGCACTTATAGCGACACTATGAACAAAGGCACCGTTCACTTTCGGTCTTCGCATTTGGCCATAAGGATCCCCCGTCTCTTCTTGATTCACAAAACTCGGTGTCATCTGGCGCAGTCCTTGCATGTCTAGCAAGTCGGTTCTGCTTGAGCACCGAAACTGTTGGAAACAGGTACAAGTACGCCGACTCTGCTAGAAGTGACCCGCGCTCGAAAAGCCATGACATGAAACATAAAGTGTCCGAGTGCCACTTCGGCCGAAATGCATTTATTGTAAAACCTATTAAAGCTGGTACGGTAGTACGGCAGAGAATCCAGATCACTTTGTGCTCTTCTTAGTCTTGTCTTCTGTTATGCAACGTTAACAAAAACCTTGAGACTGGACTTGGCCCGCTGATCAATAAGCAACTTGAAGCGGCGAGTAGTCAAAGCCGAGCTTGCCACTAATGACAAGACTCACAAGGTCTAAGCAATGCCGACAAGTGCCACTGATGCGAAGTCCACGGACAGGCCACCTTCAAATCAATCATTTACGCAATTCCAAATTGTGATTATCTGAATTCTATAATTGCTATATGTAGATCGACCTCGAACAATTCAGCTCACTGTACTTGAACCAGAAAGCACGTGCACTGTGCGGCCAGGCAATGTCTGCTACATTATTGCTACCAACTTGCATATGTCCGTTGCTCGACCCCAGTCCCTCTGCCTTTATACGTACCGCGCGTAGCATAATGGCCGGCCCACGCGGTCACCATCACGGCGGAGCGGGTTGTAACTTGTGAACTGTGGAACCGCCAAGCCGACAGCACGAGCTTATTGGGCACGATCGTGTACGTTGATGTCATGCCGGGCCGGCCCCCACGGTTGAATTATCAAGAATTTCGATGAATCAGCATTAAATGTTGAGCACCAGAACCTAACATGATCTTCACCTAGTATATAGCTGATTGGTTGCGCCAGTACGTACCCTGACGTCAAGAGATCCTACATGCCTATTGAACCCAATATATGTCGAGACTCGAAAGCTTCATACTCAATTTCCAAAATGGCGCAGCTCTACAATATAGTTCCTTCTTGTCCCTGCAAAAACCGCGCCATGCATACGATCCATTCTTGCTGAAAATCAATAACATGCGAATCTAAAGGAAGCGCAGATGCTTCCGAAAGAAACCGCTGCACAAGACTTGAGACTCGCGAGGGAATCCATCAATTGATTCTTGATATTTACAGTTGATGCAACCTGCTTAACCAATGCTACGCGCCCTACTAAACAAAGACGCCCTGTTGGCATCGAGACCGGACGGGCGTTGTCCAGCGTGTTTCAGAAGTACAAACACAGTAAGTACTCTAAAGGTCAATGTTGAATATCTTCCAGTAGCGTCAAGGGAATGCTGATCCTGACAGTCTGTCCAGAAACAGTCTAATCTTATTGGATGTCGGAAACCATGGCAATCCAAACCAGCCTCGTTCCACCTGCGGAATGCATCTCAGTCGACGTTGGCAGTATGTCCGGCCTCATGCCGCGCAGCTGCGCACCAGCGGGCTGTGGCGTGCGTCGCGGGTGCTTGCCGGCGTGGCTGGCGGCGTGCGGAACTCACTGTCGACCAGGTCGTCCACGGCCGCGCTGCACCACGCCAGCAGCTGCTCCGCCGACACCTCCAGCAGCGCACCCAGCCCGGCCCCCACCACGGCACCGCGCGGCGCACCGCCCACCGCGGGTGCGCCCGGTTGTTGTGCAGCTTGGCCGTCGGTGAGGCCCCCATGGCCGACAAGGGCTGCCTCGGAAGGTGCCGCCGTGCCCCTCTGCATCGTCGGGAGGGTGCTTCTGCAGAAGCCGTCGCTTGTGGCCCTCGTCAGGCTGCCCAGCTCGGGCCTGGGCTCTGCCGCATCTCCTCGCCCAATTTGACAGGTCTTGGTGGGCCAGCTCGCCCCGCACTGCGCTTCCAGCGGCGTGCTGCCGTCCTGGCCCGGGTGTAGCAGGGGGTCCGTGAGCCACTTGACACGCAGGCTGTCCTCCAGGGCCTCCACTGCGCGCAGCTGCCGCAGGAACAGCGCCGCCGGCTGCCGCGCAGAGGGGGGGCCCACCGACGTCGCCACTGCAGGCTGCACACAGCAAGCACACAGGGGACGTCGCAGGTCAGGTGGTGCACTTCGGAAGGATGGGCAGGTCCTAGAGAACGAACTTATATAGGACTGGACAAGCACTGAGAATTTCCTATAGGGCTCGCCTTTTCACATTCAACTCGTGAGCGTTGGATGTTGGCGCGTCGGAAATGCTCATAAGCGAGTCTGAGTCTTTCTTTACGGATCATGTTGCCAGTACGACCAACTTGGGTCCCCACCACCACCACAATCAACTGCCTGAGGTGTCTCTGCATGCCTGCGCCCAACTAAAAGGAACGACGATAATGTGAAAGCTGACCTTACCAGTACTCAAGGGAAACCCGGAACAGATTGGCAACATGAAGACTGATACACACATTGTCGAGACATCAAGCACTGGAGCAGCGCTACTGCGCTGGCAGTGGCTTCCTTCTGTACAAAACGTCCATTGTTGCACTGATGTAGCCCTCGCTGCTAGTGCTCCGAGCCTTCACGAAAACACAGCTGTGGGGACCGCTTTGCCTCAACATGTTAATCTGCTCCAGTCCACAGCGGACCCTCACCTCTGGCCCACGCTCCCCCTCGCTGGGACCCTGTCCCGCTTCTCCGCTGGGCCCGGCCTGCCCCTCCGCCCTTCCTGCCACCTGCCCTTGCCCGTGCGCTGGCCTGCCCCGCGGGCTGCCGTCTGCCGGACACCCTCCCCTGGCCTCTTCCCCACTGCTCCCTCGCCCTTGCCCTTCCACCGCACCGCCTGGGCGAGCGCCTGTGGGGCCGGCCTGCACGGCCTCTGTCCTCTCACTATGCAGCATCCTCGTACTCGCTTTGCTTGAGTCCACTCTGGCAGCCCCCTCCCCTTCCTTTGCTGTGTCTAGCTGCGCCTCTGCCACCTGCCGCAGCCTGCTTCGCACGTCCCCGCCCTCTGCTCCTGTCCCTGCTCGCGCCAGGTGCTGCTGCAGGTGCGCAATCCCGCTGCGCAGGCCCCTCTGCGTTAGGCTGTCGGTCAGCCGCGCCAGCCCCTCTGCCAGCGCTGTCTCGCGCGCCATCTCGGCCTGCAGTGCGCGCAGCTCCACCTGCGCTGTGCTGCCGCTGTGCTCCGGCCGGCCCCCCGCCCCCCTGCCTGCGGCGCTCCCCCTCTGCCGCCGGATGGCCTCCACAAAGTGGCGCGCTTCCTGGTCCACCTCATACGCCGCCGCGGCCAGCACGGCGCCCAGGCCGCCTGCCCGACGCAGCAGCGCGCTCAGCGGGGCCCCCTCCTTTCCCCCGGCTGGCAGCCCCTGTTCGGAGGGGCTCCGCACCGACTCACTTGCCATGCTGCCCACCAGCGACGCCTCGCCGGGGTGGGCCGTGCTCCTCTCCCTTGCTGGCAGTGTCGTTTGCACGTTCACCTTGCCCCACCTTTCAGACCGCGGCTGCCCCAAGACCTTGGAAGGCTCGTTCAAGCCAGGGGCCAGCGCATCTGGCCGCCGCTGTGCTGAACGTTCCTGTGATCCAATGGGATCCCCTTGCTTCCACCCCCCCCTTGGGGCCCCACTCATCATCCCCTTCACCCCAGCTGCTCCAGAAGGCAGGCCCTGCGGAGCGCCATCAGCCCCTGAGGATGACACTGGTATTGTCCTGCTTGGGGGAGAATGTGCCAGGAACGGCTGACCTCGAGGTGCAGATATGACACCATGATCTGCGCAGGGCCACACCAAGTCAGCCAGTTGCACGCCAGCATGTGCCCGCTTTTGAAACAGACTGGCCTCCTGAGTCAAGGGTACTGCGAGCTGGACAGGATGCAAACTCGCAGAACGGGACACCACGCTGGCTTGCAAACACACCACTGATCCACTTTGTAGGCTGCAGCTCCCCATGCTATGTTTTCTACAACTGCAGACTATGCTTGTCTCACCATGACCACCTTCTGGGCTCCTCGCCCGCCTTGCAAAGTCCCGACTTGCAATTGCCGCCGCAAGGGCCATCTTTGAGAATGCTGCTGATGATGCTGGATTGGCCACAGGTGCGCGTCCAGTCTCCGGCCCTGGCCGCTTGCTGCCCCTCCTGCCGGAGGCCCCCACAGATGCGTCCACAGCAGTTTTCCTCAACCACTGTCCCGAGACAACACCGGGCACCATCAGGGACGAGACGGAGGAGGGTGCCTTCCAGAAGCGGTCGTCCCAGCTGGGCCGCTGCCTCCCTGCCTGACTGGCTCCCCCGTGCCGCCCCTCCGGCGATGCTGCGCCGCCCTGCTTCCACGTCACCAGCTGGAGGGCGAGGGTCCCTGCCTCCAGCCTGGCTGCCGTCCGCGCCGCCTCCGTGTAGGCTGCGGGGGCACGCCTGCCGGCCGCTGCCGCCTGCAGGGCCAGCTGCAGCTTGTGTGTTCCCGCTCGGGGCAGCGCAACACGCTGTGCATCGCTGATGCTGTCAACTTGGACATTGCTTGGGCTGCCCGTCCAGGCAGAGGTGGTGCCACCATGCTCCCCTTTGCTTTCCTTCCAAGCAGTGTGTCCTCCTTGAGCGGATGTCTGCCCTACAGCTGGAAGAGATGGTCCATCTTTCTCGGAGCTTCTGGCTAATTGGTGGGGCCTGCGAGCTCGTTTCAGCCCTCTCCCTGGCTCGAACAGCCTCGACTCAAGGGGGACCCGTGCAACGCGCTGTGACGCCAGACGGCCGTGCCTTCTCTTTAAAAACGCCTTCCTTGCTGGGGCATTCTCAGGCATTTTGACTTCCGCATCCACCAGGTCTTGGTCCAGACCCGAGAGTTCCTGCTGACTTGGCCCCCTTTCACCCTGCAGTTCGAGGGGCGCTGGCGCCGCCATGGCACCTGTTGGCACCATCATCTGGCGCCCTGGCTCAGCTGCTTCAGCCTCATGCAGGCTTTCCTTGTTACTGAACTTCTCAGCTATCGATGTTACTAGAATATTGCCCTGTTTCTACATAATTTTGCGTTTATCGTCGAAACCGCCGGGTTTGATGCCGCGCGCTCGGGCAAAATCACATTTAGCGACAGAATCTTGTGACGGGTCGTACCTCACGTCAATGCTATCGAACAGAATCTACAGCCATTTGAACAGCTCGTCGAAAATGAATACTCGGGACGTCTGCATAGGGCGAATGTTTTGTCGAAAGAGCACTCAATAAGTCGCCGGAAATACCTAACCGAGGCGCATTGCGGAAGTAGAAAAGGATTTTGGATTAACCGTAGAGTTTACGCACTTGGAAAACAGGTTAAATCCTCAACCAGATCTATATTGACCCGGGTTGTCACTATGTGGAGCTGACCGATCACTTCAACGTGTTCAAACTTCAGCTTCGCATCCCCGGTGGTTAAAGTCGGTCCTTCGTTCCATGCTTCCGGCCACCTTGGACAGCGTGGGTTAAGAGGCAAGTTCAGTATCACATCGTAGATTAGTTGTAGGAAAGCTAGGCTGTAGCGTGCCAAAGTTTGGAAAACCTGGCATATGCACCGGCAAAATCGTGCATATGGAAGCCTCAAGGTCTCACTAGGTAAGACTCCGCGGGGCTGCACGCGCGCTCAGTCAGGGGGACCAAACACCACTGAAACACAGCGAACCATGATCCTCACCGTCCGATTAAAACATTTCCGAATTGACGGTCGCGATTGCATATTTTGGATGTCCCGAGGCCGATGCGGTCCTCGGTTGGTTTGAGGGAGGGTTAAGAAGACGGTTAAAAGAAGGTTAATGGCTTTTTGGCTGTAAAACCCACCTAAACCAGCCCTCTACTCCTCTTAAACGGCGCTTTGCCCGGACGCCAAACTTCGGGGTTTCGAAGGTCACCCTGTGTAGGTTCAATCCCACCAGATTCCGGTTCCGGGCCCGTTCCGGGCAATAAGCCGTTTGGCTGCTGGCACATGGTTCAGGTTGCCAACTTATCTATCCGGGGTGTTTGGTGAGTCCCCGTGCCGCGTCAAATTGAACTTCCGGTCATTTGGATCTCACATTAACAAAGTTCGAAGACAAAGTCTCAGCAACTAGCGATTCCCGTCTCGGATGCTCAATGAGAGAAAACACGAAACTCCAAGTGTTCCCCAACAGCAACAAGCCTCGAATTCCTGAAGAACCTGGTAACTTGCGCTTCCAATGTGACGGTTGGACAGGGTTTACACGCTGCCTGTCTACTTCACA